TGCTTAGATTATGTCATAACCGTGAAAAATATTGGGTCAGGTTACACGATCAAAATCATAGTGGGCTGCACGATAATGAACCATACATGTTAGCCAAAATTGGTTTTGCATTTGCCAAATATTTTGGCAATGTTCTGGCTTTCCCATATTCCCTGTATTAATGGTCATAAAAAAAACCACCCAGAGTTTTAGCTATTGAATAAAGAATTTAAATAATTTTGGATATAATTTTGGTCACTATTAAAATTAGTTTTGGTTACTATGAAAAACTATTTTGGCATTTTTGAATTTGGCAATATCATTTACTAACAAAAGTAATTTTAGCTAACATGTAGGAACATATAGTATCTAAATTAATAAATATATGCCTGAAGATCTTGACAATAATGATAAAAAAAAATGATAGATAGCTATTAAGTTTACATCCAAAAACATTGTCATTGCCTTTAAATGACATTAATATTAATTAACCAATCCAATTAAACCTTATATGGTGAAATAGGTCTGAACTTTTTTTTATTATATAGACTTCAATATATGAAAAGAATTACATTCAATATAGACACAGCATAAAACATCCAAATGTATAAAATAATAAAAATTATTTTTTCATCCATATAAATTAATTAAGTATTGTATGTTGCAAGGCTTGATCAGCAGTCATCCTTTGATCTTTATCTACCTGACACAATTTAAGAATAAAATCCACAACAGTTTCAATCTCATCAATATCATTTCTAGTTGATTTAAATGTAGAAAAATCTAGGTCACCTTTCATTATATTATCATAAAGCTTAGCATAATCATGATCATTAACATTCCAAGGACATTTTTTTGACAACATATAGTAATTTACAATTCCAAATGACCATATATCAATGGATTGGTCATATTCACATTGAGCAGTATCACTATCACTATCAATACCTGTTCTAAACATCAAGAGTTTATTTTTTAATGCCTTGGCAAGTTCAGGTGCAGTATATAAGGGTGTCCCAACTATATCTGTGCTGGTCTGCTCAACATAATTGCCCATGCTGTCAATAGATCCTTCTATTTTTTTTGACTCGCCAAAACTAATCAACTTAACTTGATTAAAATTAGAATCTGTAAACATGATGTTGTCAGGTTTGATGTCTCGATGCATTATGTGATTCTCATGAATGTACTAAAAAAAAATCATTTTAAAAATGATAGAAGAAATAAAAAAAATTTTAAAATGTTACTAAATGTAGTATAAAATATATACAACTATGGTAATGTTCAAAATGATTGAATATATGAATACAATATTAATAAAATTATAATAAAAATGTTCTTGCCTTTATAGCTGAACAAATTTGGAGAGCCAAATTTTTCCAGAGTTGGAAATTTATAAAACCATTTAATGTTTTAATATAGTCCTCAAGACTCCCTCCACAAAGATAAGGTAAAATGATTACTATATTCTTCTCATCAAAATAATCATCAACTACTTTTATAATATTCTCATGGTCCAATGTTTTCAAAATATCAATTTCATTTCTATATTTAAAATTTCCATCACTAACATTGATAATTTTAGCAGCATAAATGTTATCATCATTATCATTATTTGATCTAATTTTTTTAATAATGCATGATTTGCCAGTTTTATCATTGCCATTACTATCATTTACAACATGATATTTTTCTCCTGATTGACCAGGTAAATGATTAATTTTGGCATCTTCAAAAAACTCTACTTCTGTATATAGATATAATTGAATAAATAAATATTAACCAAATACATAAACATAAACATATATGTAAATTAATTGATTTATACTATTTACCAATAAAGCCTCCCCCTTGGGTCTTGATAAAAATTTTATCATTATGATTTAAAACATATTCATCGTTCCATCCCAAGGGTATGTTATTAACAAAAGTTTTCTTATTCCAACCATTTTTTATAATTGTATCAAAATTTAATTCCTTAACATAATGCATGTTGTTTGTTGGTTTCTAACAGATGATAATTAATGATAATATTATTATTATAGAAATTATAATGATTTCAATATGTGCATATAATAGATATGTATGATTAATTAAGCTATTGTTACTTACAATTGAAAGTATACATTGTATACTCGCAACATCTGGATGGCCAATTGTCAAATTGGCTCCCCTGTCACATCCAATTGTTATACACTTTTGGACTTCTGATAAGACAACTTTTTCTTTTTGGTATACAATAGATGAAATTGTCTTAGCTTTGGCTTTAGCTTCCTCAAATCTGGCTTGAGCAAGCTCAACTCGGAGTTTTTCTTTTCTTTTATGACTGATGGTGGGCTTAGCTTTGGCTTTAGCATGCTCAGCTCTGAATTTAAGGTCAGGATTATAATAATTTCTTTTGTTACTATCATTATTATTATTATTATTATTATTATTATATATTAAAACTAGAGTGATGACTCTTACTGAACAATCTTTTCATGTATATTGTCTAATCTGTTTTTTTGTTGTTGTTGGTTGTTTGGCATTTTAAAAATTTAAAGTGATTGATCTACAATCGTGTAACATTAATTTATATCGAGATCTTGAACTTCGTCCGTTAAACAGAGATTTTTAATTAGTCTCTGCTAAATCGAGATCCGCTAAACCGAGATTCGCTATGTGGTAGTTTTGACTGAATGACTATGTTGATTTTCAAAAATAAAGTCTGTATGAATAAAATAAAAATCATATAGATATTTTTCTTTTGTATTCAACAAACTAGGTTATAGCCACCTACTAATTCACCCGTGCCTTTAATTTTCATAATTGCCACAATTTATTCATCCTACAGAAAAGTCGAAATTATTGATAGGATCGATGGGAAAATACCCCCCCCCCTCTACTTCTTTTTGACGGGTTTGAAAAGTTCTTCATGACGAGACAAGGTTTCTGTTGATAGCTCCTACTGATATTGCATCCAATAACATCGGTAGAAAGGCCATACACTCATCCTTGAATGGAAGGGAAGATACGAAATATTGATTTTTTCACCGCCGCACATAAAACCGAGCTACAGAAAATCCATGCCATTATAATAGACGAAATATCTATATACCTTTTCCGGCTTCATAATAATAATATTTTTGAAGATGTACCAATGTCGGTCGTGAGGGATTTGGCTCAACTGCCTCCAGTTCGCCCTTCCTATGTTTTCAACTCGCCGACCTGGAAAATTTCTTCTCTCTGTTTTTAACGACCCTGCAAATAAACGACATCGATCGAATTATCAGATTTTTCAAGAGGTAAGGATGGGAAGCCTGTTACAAAAAAGCAAACGAATCATCCAGTCAAAATGTAGGCATGCGTCAAGAAGTTGAAAACCTTAACATACTATTTTTTGACCATCTCGATGAAACCTACAATGACTCAATCATCTCCAAGAGAGTAGATGCGTTAGATTTTGGGATCCTGATAAAAAATATTAATACGCCCGATTTAAAAATCTAACAAACTTATCCGAGAGGGTGTATTTGCAAAAGGCTCTTGTGTGATGTTTTTGAACAACAAATTGTTTAATGAAAATATATGCAATGAGACCATTAGTATTGTGACAAAGATGATCGATGACGAAAGTGTCGAGGTGATGTTTCCAACCTGACAGTATAAGCAAAATAATTGTGCAAAAGGAAACTTATTATTTGAAGTTTATGGCAAAAGTACATCGAGGTGATAATTCCTCGCCAAAACGTGTTCGCTTTGACAGTTCACAGGACACATGGTTTAACATAACGTTAAATGTTGGTGAAGATATGTTTGCAGAAAGTCAGGCGTACATTATGATGAACTGAGCCGCTTCGCTGGATAAGTTGCACGTGTAACAAAGATAAAAATGCGTCTGGATACTTTCTTCCAGGTAGTGTATTATTATTATTAAAATTTTTCTTTATTATTATTTATTAAAACATCCTTACAATTAATTGATTATTCACTTATTGCTAAAAAATACCCTTGTGGTGTTTTCGTATATTTTTTCAGCTAATAGTTCAGGATCGGCATTACGGATTGAAGCCAATACATGCAATACTTGTCTATAAGTAGATAACAATAATTTACATTAGTAAAAAAACAATCAGGCATTTTATATATGTGTATGTATATGTATATCAACATTTACACTATAGAACATGGTTCGTTTCTTCCTTTAACCATATATCCCTCTTGAAATCTTTCTTTTTTGTAAGAAGTTGGTATCGACGATTTTTCAAGATTTTTAATTAAATGTGAATATGATGCATGAGTAGAACGTATATCACACCACGGAGCGTCTTTATGTAAATAAAAGATTATTAGATTTAAAGATTATTAAGATTAATAATAATAGTAAAAGTAATAGTGACAATACCTGTTTCTATCATTAATCGATCTTCAGGAACTTGTTTTACAACATCAAGATTTTCTTGCGTTTTTAAAGAACTAAAGATTTTGATTTTTATATTGAAAATTTTTGAAGAGAAGAGAAAAAAATAAATATGGTAATCAGTTACACATACATAGCATGAACATATATTTACTTACCAACCATTTACTCCAAGATATAACCCTAAAGAAACTGCTCGTTTCATTTCTTCAAGTCCACAAGTAAATGAATGCATTACACCATTAGTAAATTTATGCCGATTTTTTTGAATTAAATGTGATGATTTGAGTTAATGAATTTATTATTCTTTTTTTTCAATAAAGAATTAGACAAAGACATTTCAAAGGATATCCATAAAATCATTTCCAGTATTTCTATTATGAAGAAACATCGGAAGACCAGTTTTCTCTGCAAGATCAAATTGTTTTTCAAAATATCTAAATATATTAAATATGTAAAATTAATAAATTATTTTAGCGCAATTTTAGATTCTATATAAAATGGTAATAAATACTTTAATTGAACTTCTTTAGAACAAAAATTTAATCGATCATAATCTTTTGTAATATAAGAATTTAATTAATAATTAAAAATAAAAAAATTTAATATCAAAATTGTTGATGTTTGTTACCAAGTCCACATTCACCAATTGCCACAATCTTTCTTTTAGAATCTTCGTTATTTGCAAGATTTAAAAGTTTTTGGTAATAATGATCAGGACCTTTCGGATCCTCGTCAAATTCGTTGGATCGTGTTGGATGACAACCAACGGTTGAAAAAAGATTATCTAAAAAAAATTTTTGAAAAATTTAAAATTTTCTTTTTCATAATAATTAATAATTAATAATAAAAATAATATATTTTTTGGACATTCACACCATAATCTTTTGATAACTTAAAAGCTTCTTCGCTTTCACTTACAGATCCACCTGTCACTATAATCTTTTCAACACCTGCAGCGCTAGCACGTTGCATCATTAATGGGAAGTCATCTAATAATGATAATGATTATAAATTGGGTTGATTTTTAAATATTTTTTAATGAATTAAAAGTTACCCAAATGAACCTTTTTCCCTCGATATATTCCATTAAATATTGGATCTGTCAAATTCACTCCAATATCTTTTAAAATCAATTAATATATCTATTAATATTTATCTATTTATTTATTTTGTTTAAAATTCAATGTTTCTTTACCGATAAAACGCATTTGATTTTAAATATAAATGGATTATGAAAAAAGTGGCTTAGAATCATTATTAAAATCTGCAAGCTAAATCCATTCTACTTGCTAATATTATTAATTCTTGAATTATTCCACGAAGAAATATTTTTCTAATAAACAATCAATGAAATAATCACATAATTATATAAGAAAATTTTATATTCGTTTTTTATGCTTCGTTTACGGGTAAGGGTGAAGAATGATCATTAAAGAATTGCCTTTTCATTAGAACACGAGGACTATGCTCAAGTCTACATAGGTGACTTATATTTGTCAGAGAAGACCCTTGTTATATTTCTCGGTTGGCTTCGACCATTACAGAAACATCATAAGATGGTCATTAAATTTATCCTTATCTCTTCCCCTTAAATTTTTGCTTCATTTTGCCAATACGAAATGAACTTGCTGGAAGCATTTCGGTGGTAAGCTAGTATAAATATTGGGTGCTACACCAGTGGTTGGCACGCGTTTATCGGCTGAGGCATTTTTAAAAAAATTTACTTTTATATAAGTGATTATTAATCATGCAAAATTTTTTCTTTAATCAAGTATATATATTAATTGAACCTTTGCTTATTATTTTCGTCAACCAAAAAACTTTCCGAGCAATTCAATTTTAATTTGTGCAATAAAACCTTGGCTTTAACGGAAAGCTTTATTTAAATTACTAAGATTAATAAATAAAAAGAATGTGACAGAACATTTTAGGCGTCGAGGGATGCTATTTAAACAGTGTAGCCGAAAAATACAGAGTTTTTCAGATGCCTGATAATTTAATTGAAATTGTTAAATCCATATAATTGTCTCTTGAGTTTATTAAAAAAGTCTTATAATGAATAAGAAGTTCGCTAGGATCTTTTCTAAAAAAATGACGACGTGAGACTAGAGTGAGTATTTTTTGTTTGTATAAAAATAAAAATAATACTTGCTAGACTTTAAAAGGCTTAAAACAATTGTTTAAAATCCAAGTTTTTAAATTTTGTTAAAGGAGTTGAAGGACACAAGCGCTATTTTAAAAAAAGAATATTTTGAAGTTATGAAAGAATCCAAAAAGCGAAACTTTTAATTGAGTTACATTGTAAACTTGATTTCATAGAAATGCGTTGAAGTCTGCGCTAAACGATATAGAATATCTTGTAAAGCAAGCAACAGTAGAAATAGTAAGAAAAAAAAAGAATCTCTAACAACCATTGTACACAAAATTGAAGAACTATGGATTATGATGAAAATGGATAAAGATGACGAGACTATAAAACGCTTGCATTTATGTATTGGGACAAAAAAGTCTACTTTTTTATATATAGTTTTTCGTATAAAAAATATCGAGAGACCCAAAACTAGTTTGGACTTTTGAAAACATTTTGGAATGGAATCTTAGTTAGACCTGTGTTAATGTACTTGTCTAGAATGCAGTAATAATCAATGTATCACTTCTGATGCCTATTCGCCTATTGGGCTCCTTATGTTAGTAATGAATTTTGTGATGGTCAACTTTGCTATAATAAGGGAATGAATATGTGTAATATTATAATTTATTTAATATTATATAATAAAGAATTTATCAATATAATGATATCAATTTTATTAATATTGGAAACAAACTGAATAACAAATGAATAAAACAAAAAAAACTTCAAGGTTGACTTTACCAATCTATGGCTGACTGTATATTTTGGATATGACTATGTTGATGTGAGAGAGAGATCCTTGATCCTCGAGTTACTATTATATACGAGAGAACATGTGATCTGACTGAAGTCAAACATAATATTCAACATAAATTTGTCATCAAAATGTGCAAACGTGAAAGATTTATTTGCGAATAAAAAAAAATTCTATATTTTCTAAATGCCTAATTAACAATCATAATTTTTTCTTTACTAATTTATACACTTCGCATTCTTCTAAGAAATGAACTTTTTTGTTTTTATTTTTAAGATTTAAATTATTTTCATAAATATTAAAATAATTATAATAACAATAAGGCTCATCATGAATACTATTAAATAAATGTAAATCACGGAAATTTATGGTAGCTTCACAAAATTCTATTTTATCTATATTAAAATTCAAATTTCTAATATTATGACCTATAGCCTGCGCGGGGTTTTTGATTCTGCTTAATATTGAATTGCCAAGTTGTTTTTCATCAATCTTAAAAATAAAACTTTGATTAGTTCGAATCCAATAATTTTCATCTGGAGATTTTTCTTTTATATTCCAACAAACTGGGTTGTAGCCACCTACTAATTCACTCGTTTCTTTGATTTTCATAATTACTACAGTTCGTTCAGTGTTATAAATTTTTTGTTCAAACACTGATCTAGAAAATCCATCTTGAGTACCTTTAAAAATTAATTGAAACTTATAAGGCAACTTATCTTCGTTGTTAATACCTTCTTTCGAATCAATCCAATTTGATATTAAGCATTTTATTTCTAAATTCAGTAGTTTCTTTCTACCTGTTCTTGAACCTTTTTGGGGTAATAATTTTGGTTGCCATTTTTCATCATTCAAATAGTATTGAAGAAGCTCTTCATATATGCCTTCATCAAAAACTTTTTCATATGGTGAAATACTTTCATAAAAGTCACTTGAAGAAATTTGCTTAAATCTTATTAAAGGAATAATATCTTCCAATATATTTTTTAACTTTTTGAAATCATCTTTATTCCACTCTGAAACATCTTTTTCCAACTCCTTATTTTGCCCCACTCCCCATTGAATAACATGATCCCAAATTTCAAGTTCATCTAATGGTAAATTATCTTTTTTTAATATAGATATGAATATAGATTTTTCGATTGCTTCAATGCCATCAGATTCTAAAAATAGTTCTGGACAATTATGATATAGTTTATCGCAATATTCTTGAAGCAAATTAAATGATTGTTTCTCTGATAAAATTTTATAAATGTAAATTAAATTTTTTTGAATCCAATATTCTTCTTCATTAATTAAATGATTTTGTAAATGTTCAATTAATTCATTGAAGCATAACTCATCACAAGCTTCAAGAAATTCTAAAATTTCATTCGGATCTAAACGATCCATTTCAACAATTCCACTATAAATATAGCTTTTAAACACGAAAATATAAATATATAAATAAATTATCAATGTACAAAAGTAAAAAAATTTATCAAGTTAAACTTACACTAAAAGAACTTCAAATATTTTTGGAGAAATATTTCCTTTTTCATATAAAATAATACCATTGTCAGATCTTTTAATCCAATTATTTGATAGAGCAGCTTTAAAATAAGACGATCTTGCTTTTAAAATATTGGAATGAGCTTTAAATATTTTTTTATCTTCTCCAACCTTAATCTCTACATCATAATAATCTGATTCATTAAACATACTTGTCAAATCATTTATTAGCTTACCAATGTATTTTAATGATGAAGCATTATTATTGTTAGACTTTACAAAGTTATTAAATAAAAGTGTAATATTTTCCAAGGATAAAAAGCTGTTATTAGACATTCTGAAGAATATATTTTACCGTCAAAAATTTTTGTGTAATGGCAAATAAGTTTTAGAACCAGGGTAAAAATATAGTACAGGGATAGGAATTTATAAAAACAAATTTCCAGAAGGGCCGTTAATGAGCCTTTCAACAAGGTAAGTTTTGGCGTATTGTTTACTCGATCACTTTTGAAGGGTAGTTAATCGGAGAGATCATCACAGCCAGCTAGAATACATGTATTGACATACACTGTTTGCAATATTAATTAACGCATGCTTTTTTTCTTTCCGTCCTCTTACTTCCACAATTGCCTTGTACTAACTCAACAACAAAATCTAATTTTATCTACTTTCATAAATTATATTTTGTCTTAAGGAACATTAAATATAATGTTTGTAGCATTAGATAACTAATTCTTCAATAGAAGAAACTGGTAAGTAAAATGCCAAATATTTTAACTGTATTATAAATAATTCCTTCACTGCCCTTATACTATAACTATAACTACTATTTTATAATATGCCATGCTATTTTTAGAAGAAACAAAAACTTTCAGCAATACTATTTAGGAATTCTTGTATAATTTTTTTTGTGTTATAGACTTTGTATCACTTTTAAAATAGCAGCCTAATTAATTATTTGGTATTTTATTTAAAGCTTAATCTGGAGATGGTAAATCTTGTAAAGATGTATAGTCTATAATAAAAGCATTTTTAATATATTATTGCATTAGTATTGGATAATGAGTATCATTGTTTTTGATAAATTCAAGAAAAATGCCATGTGTATGATTACTGATTGTATTCATTGGACTCCTTATTGAAGCTGAGACATCTCCCAATAAGAATATATTTTGTTCATTTCTTTCTATCTAGAATTTCTAAATCTGAAAAATATTACCAATTGTAATTGTATATCAAATTCGTCATCAGAACATTCTGATTCACTAGTCTCATCATATCAATGATATCTTCTGCTTGAATGAATATCCAAAAGAGAATAAAATTATTTTGAAGTTCTTGAAATTCTTCATATCCTAATAATTTCATCAAAAGGGTTATTTTCAAAAAAAAACATCAGAATATTAATATTTATTTGCAGATCATTACGAGTATGGATAATGTATGTAATCATGTCACTATCTCAAAATCAAAATTCTGCCTTTTTTGCTGTCCACGTCCCTTGGGTATGAAATTCTGATTGGCTAATTTGAATTTCGCAAATATTATGATTAAGCCAATCAATCCCAATACACATATCCCAACATAGAATCCCCAAGGCAGCAAAAAAATACTGGCAAAAAATATCCTTCTAATCAACAACAATTCAACGGATGCATATATTTTATTGATGACAATTGAATAAATTAGCAAAAAATTTATTCTTTATAAAATTATTCTAATGAAAATTTTTTTTTAAAAAAATTCTTGAAAAAAAAATTATGATAAATTAAATTATAAATTATATCTATCTATATTATTAATATATATCGTTTAATAACAAAAATTTCTCTCTCCGTATGGATGAATGAATGTACTTTGACTGCACCGAAGATATTGCATATTTATATATATATATATATTTAATTATATGATAAATATTTTTTATATCTTTCAATGCTCCCTTCATCAATTAAAAAATTTTTCTTCTACAATAGCACCTAATTTTTCACTATTTGTCCAATTCATTTTCATATCCTCCAACAAACTATCTTTTTCAACAAATATTTTACTAACCCATTCTTTTAATTGTTCATCATCATTTGGCAAATCCTCAATTGCATATCTTTTCATATGTATGTGAAATGACCATGGTGGCGAGATTTTTGAGTATGCATGAACTTGAATAAGATTTGGTGGAAATGATAATCCTTGTTTCAAATGACGATATGCAATCGTAAAATCTAAAAAATCAAAATCAAAATCAAAATCAAAATAATAGAATACAATATTAAACGTTGCACATTCTGATCAATAATTTATAAATAATATTAAAGAGAAGATTTTACCATAAACATATTTTACATGAGTATTTCTTAACTGACGAATACATGCAACAAATCCTTTTGTACGAGGTACTAAAAGGTGTTGTAGGATAGGTATACCTTTTTCTCTAGCAAATGCTTGTCCCTGTTTATATAAAATTCAAGGAACCATTATATGAGTGGGTGGTTAAATATGGATTAAATGATTTAAAATGATTAGTTTATTTACATCTAATAATTTCTTTTGCGTCATTCTTGTTCCTTCAACAAAGTTAACAATCCAAATTGGTGCTGCGTATTCTTTAATTCTTTTAAATATTTTTCTTAATTGGCTTTGATCCTTAAAAAATTAAAGATGATAATTAATTATTTTTTCAATATAAATAAAAAAAAGACTAAATGTAATTACTTGAGTCCAATTTCTTTTTATGAAAATCATTCCCATAAGCTAATGAATAAATTATTTTAGATAAAAATGGATTAAATATTTGTTATAAATTATTAAATAACAACAACAATAATAATAACAAATTCAATCTTACCCACATACCATATCCAAAGAATGGAATCTAAACATAATATGAAGAATGAAAATTGCAAGTTATATACATATAATGTATATTAACATAATATAATATATTCAATAAGATTCTAATAATATAAGATCTTACATATTTTAAGGAATCTTTAGCAAAATATTTGACATGAGGTAACATATTTTTACGTATAGCTACTGAATGTAACATATAAAAATCTGTAAATGATCGATGATTACTTATTACCACTGCACTCTCATCTGATGGTATTTTATCACCAGAAAATGTAATCTTTCCTTTGTGTTGACGCTTTTTGGAAAATGAAAAATAAAGAAAGAATTAAGAAAGAATCAAAAGGATCTAATCAATTAATTAATTTAAAAATTTTTTTTTCATTTACCTCGAATATCCACTGATTAATCAAAATTTAAAAGCAGATTATTTCGCTTCTTTTTTATTATATAATGATATTATAACTTAATAATCTTTCACTTACTTGCATAACCCACCACATACTGTGTGCACTTCTAGAATTGATTTTCCATACTAATTTTTTAGAAAATGGAATTATCAACATTGATAAAAGTTGAACTACATTAATACCAATCGCCAAACTACGTAAATAATAAATATTGTTGATTCCAGTTAATAATAATTTTAGAGAGTTCAACAACTTTATTATGCTGACAGGATAACAAACCTAAAAAGCGCGGTTCCATAAAGCCATATGCGCACTGCTCGAGGAAAATATTTTAACATTATTAATTTTTTATTTTTAAACAAATTTTTCCTATATACCATATTATCAGCATTTAATCCATTTAATCCGCAGTAAATGAATTTGAGATTTTTTTTTTTGGGGATATTAATATGCATTCATAATTAATAATCGAAATGTTTTAGAACGGGAATGGCTATATATGGTAATAAAAATTCAACGATACAAATAATAATACGTAAATAGAAATGCATCAACTTTGTTCAACTTCCTTGATTAATTAATAATTTCCTCTCTACTCATAGTTAATAGCTTTAATAATTAATATAATTAATATCGATTCCATTGTGAGATATCAATGAGTACATATATGACGTGATCAATGGTTGAATTTTTAATAATGCGTGTAACAAAACCAGACAAAATGACAATGAAATTTCAGGGATCAAAATTATTTAAAAAGCACAATTGTACCACCACCAATTAAATGCACAAAAATCAAAAATTAAAATTGAAGGCACTAAAAATCAATAATAATTCTTATCCAAGAAAAATTTCCTTGGTTGAGCAAGTGTATCTACATTAATTCAATCTAGATGGGGAAGTAATTTGCACAATTTATAGTTCAGGTGTAAGGCTCCAAATGAATCAATGAAATTTTGAACTAAATTGAATCAAATCCGAATTGTACTTTGATTTGTTTCATACTGATTTGAATCTATAGCAATCCATTACCTATATTAATTATTTACATAGATTTGATGAATTTATTAATTGTATTATTGTTAATATATTATTATTTAGATAATGGTGGTTGAAACTACCTTACTTAGTGGGCCAAAATTAATTGGCCTAAACTTGGGCAAAGCTAATTTTAATAACAATAATAACTGAAGTTCAGTGAATTATTTTTAAGTTTTTTAAAATAAAGTAGATTGATTTAGATATTTATTGTATGCTCAATTTATTTTTTTTTAATGCATAAATTGTTAGTGAAAATTTTGCTGACATGAGGTCAGGCAAAAGTAAATGAGATTAATATTATGAAAAAATTCAACTTCAGGAATAGCTTTACTGATACAAAAATAAAAATGAATTACAAGATACATGAAAAATATACAAATTATTGTGAAATGGGAGGAAAAAGTTGGGCATTGGTGCACCTTTTGCCAATGCCTGGACAAGCAAACACTTGTTCATAATTACAATATTTCTTAAGGTCAATAATAATTGTATCAGAGGCTTCACACACTACAACATGTCTGAGGCCAATGGAATTTCTGCTTGATCCAGATGGAATTATCTCAGTATTCCACTTGTATCATTTATGAGAACATTTAAATACATTCTCTTGCCAGCAACCTGGATTCCAACTACACCAAACTGACTACAAATAGGTCTGCACACAGAATTTATATAGCTAACCCCATCCAACAATTCTCTCCATAATTTTGTGTCACTGCAGACAATATGCAAACTTTCTGTGAATAAAAATTCCACCAATTTTCCATTGCATTTTTCTAATGCCATAACATTGTTTCTATGTGCAATACTTGCCAAGCTTTGATGCTTAAACAAATACAGCCATTTAGTATATCCCCCATAGTGGTTCAAAGTAAAGGTATGATCACATCTGTGATATAAGTCCCTTCACTTTGCATACTACAGGTCATGCTTGTCTCAAAAGCCAGATTATTCCTCTAAATTTATGAATATCAATAAAGTTAGCCTGAAAAAAATACACATATAAAGGATTAGATAATATGTAATTGTTTGTAAATAAACTTGTTCATGGGATATTTTTCAATGTAATTGAAATTCATTAATATATACTGTGTATTATCTAAGGTTTCCGGCTGAAACTCTCTTTATTAGTAGCCGAAATTGCCAAAACACTGGGCAAAAATTACATTTTTATAAGCCTTTAAAGTTGTTTAAGTTAAAATAAGTTGATTGATATAGTTTTTTAATGTTCATGTTTATAAAAAATGCTGAGAAGCCCAAATTGCCCAAACTAGTTTGGGCTTTGAGAAAACAGTTTGGACCAGAAACCTTACCAAAAAAATACATTTCTGTTTCTGGCCTAATTTTTCTACCACCACTGAGTCATCACTGAGAACTGTACTTGCAATAAGATCCCTCCAGGTAGGTTTAGAAACATCTACTAAATCATCTATTTCACTCCTAAGAGCATCATAAAGATTTTCATCTGCAATTTTCATATGAGAATTGAGCTTTGATCTCAATGTTGTTCGATTTCCACTTGTGTACAATCTGGATCCAATTCTTGAGGCATATTCAATGCCTTTAATGCTTTTAAACCAATGATAGTATTATACCAATTCTCCATATACAGCAGATGTAATAATAAGTCAGATATGTGATCACATAATATTTCTCCCATATAAGTAGTGGGTCATGACCCTTCCAAAATGGCCACATACATCCAAGGGGGAGCATAAACCCTCGACATTATGAGGAAAAATTCCTGGCTACATCACTCTTCTGGGCTGGTATTCTCAGACTTTAGACCTATTTCATCATATACAGTATAACCCTTGTTTCAACGGACTTCGTTTCAACGGATTATAATTAAATTCGCGTCTCAACGGATTTTAAAAATCTTTGTTACACGTTATAAAATCCGTTGAAACGTGATTAGTATTATAATTAGTGAGGGATCAATAATTAGTAAAAAATTTCTGCTATCAACTCAAGATTGAAACGTGTCATATTTGCGTAGGAGCCATTTTTGTAAGTGTCGCGCGTCATAAAATGGACATATACTCTATAAATCTGAAGCTTGCTTATATATCAATATATATATATATACACTATTGAGTTCAAAATTAATAGATAAAATAAAAAAATGTTTACGACTAAAGATATTTCTCTTTACAATTTTCCTTCATCAATTAATTAATTGTTGATTAATTTTAAATGTCAAAATTTATTTTCTATATATATATATATATTTATGATAAATGAAAGAAAATACATGTATTTAAAAAATAAATAATAATATAACAAACAGATAATACATTTATATATAGTAACAATAAATACAAAGATATTCTATCCTTGATTTTTATTTATCAATACCATCATTACTAAATGATGAGCGGACCAGCAGTCTCACTATTGTTGTCGGAAGATCTGTCGTTATTATTATTGCTAATGAGTGGATCTGTTTCACCAACATAGAAGGGACCATAGCCAAGTCTTTTGGCACGATAATACCAACAAATACACATAACCAAAAGTATGCCTTGAAGAGATCCTGTTACCAAAAATACAATCCATGTTGTCCATCTTACGCCAGGACGAATTGCAAGTGTATACACGAAAAGAAAAGATCCTAATAAATAACAATTAGATGAGATTGATAATCATAAGCGATAATATTTTAATAATAATAATAATAATAATATACCCGGAGTTTGAATAAGCATCATAGGTATACTAAGAGCGCCAACGGACTAAATATTTTTTAGAGGGAAAAAAAAAGAAACCATTAATCAATTAATTATCAATTTCATTCTACCATAATAATAATAATAATAATAATAATAATCAAATAATCAAACTGTCAAGTTATATACCTTTCTTTTCCAAGTTCTATAAATTTGTGGAATGTATTGAACTGAAGCCAGAAACATAGAAACAATACCTAAACCATCAGCCCATAATTTAGTAAGCTGATTATCCTCTGGTTTTCCACTGTTAAGAAGCAACAAAGAAATAACAGAAGTTATGATGAGATGTACAGCAATGATTGATGAGACACCGAGGGATGCACGCCATTCATATGAATAAGTTGTTGGTGGTGAATTGAAATGTATGTGGCGAATGTAAGGTGTAAGTTTTCGCTGAGGAGGAAAATATAACATGTATAAAAGAAAAATTGTAGTAAACATTGTCCATTGTATAACTAATTGAGTTATTCCAAGTGTATTTGCAAAGCAATCATATCCCGACTAATTTTTAAAATTTAGAAAATAAAAGATCGTTAGCCAAATAATAATGATGATGATAATGGTAATGACAATAATGATGATAATATATACCACTTTCGGGTCATAACAGCAATCGATCATCTTGTATTGTAATAATAAAATATTGAATAAACTACATGTTGCAGATGTAGTTCCTAGTAAAAGAAACCAGGGACTTAATCCTTCACTTGTTTTATGAGAAATAATTCTGTGAACCTAAAATTTAGAAATTATATCAATTCATTTAAAATTATTAAAAATAAAGAATTGTTAAAAAATTAATTACTTACTTGAGGCAAATAACTTATTAACATGCCAAGAGCTATAAAAACACTAAGTGAAACATCAATAGGTGCATTGTCAACTTTACAAGCTTCATCATCACCAGCACCTTCTTTTGCAAATATTTCCATTCTTTGTAATTAATTTATTTATTTTTATTTATTATATAGAATTTGTTGTGAATAAGTAATATATATATATATAAAATAAATACACGGTCACACATACATCATTTGATGGGCTAAATAAATCTGATCTTTTTTGGTATTAGTATTGGGCTTTTTTTGTTTTTTTTTTGTACGAAAAATTTTCAAAGAAAGAAAAAAGATGGATTATAATTGATAATTGATAAATTGATAATTGACAATATGATATTTTTATAATACAACAAATTTTTTATTTTATATTAATATCAATAATATTCCAAAAACCAGTTTTGGTAGTTTATAATAATCTCTGCTTGGTAGGTAATATAAGTAATATAAATAATATATAATATATAATAATCAATATATCTACAAATTTATATCCAAGAAAATAATTCACGAAAAATACATTGCGGTCATCCAACGAGGTTTTAGTTTTAAATCAATAACATCATCATCAATTCCACATTGTTGTTTGAAGAATGCTTTCACATCAGATTCTTTTTCTTTAGCCAACAATTCAACTTTACTCATTAAATCCAAATCGAGAACATAGGGTTGATCGTGGTGCGAGAATCTAAAATGATATAAATAGGGAAATCTTGAAGAAGAGTTACATCCATAATAATTTCTGTATAACCCCATTGGTGGAACATAATAAATTTTTGTATTATCCGGAAAGTTTGATGTTGGAGAGTTGGATTTGCTTGATTTGTTATTTGGAGAGGAATTATTGCCAGGTGGAGAATTGGAGTTATCTGAAGGAAAATTATTAACAGGCGAATTTTTAGGGGAGTTATTTAAAGAGTTGTTACTAGAATCGTTCGTAAACCTATGATATGCCAAACTATCTTCGATGGCGTATTGATATTCATATGAATAATCCTCTGGACCATACACAGAATCATACATAACATAATCAATTGAAAGTTTTGATGAATTTTTATTATTATCATTATCGTTATCATCGTTATCGTTATCGCTATCGCTACTATTGTTGCTTGGCGGTGAATACGAATTACTTTTAAGTGCCTGAAGATTATTTCCTTCGTTCTCTTCGTTATCTGATAATCTTGATTTCTTTTCTATTTTTTCGTCGACTATTTCATCCAAAGGTCTTTTGACATGTTTATTTACATTTTTCCCAACAATTTTATTATTTCCATCATCTTCTCGATCTATTCGTTGGTCAATTAATTGTTTAACTCTTTCTTCTCGACGTTTTAAAACCTCATGTTCCAATTCATCCAGTTGATTTACTCTGTTAATAATGTTAGATTCAACATTATTTATGATATCTTGTTTTTTAATTAATATATCTTGGATATTATCAATTGGATTCAATTCAAGTGGCGGCTCATAAATTTCATTAGTTGTATGACTCTCGCGCGAATTTTCATAAACTGACAATAATTCTACTAATGGGCAATGCAATCCGTCCGGTATTTTTATACCGATTGCTTCATTTTCATCGAATACATTAGGTGAGGAAGGAGAAGAAGAAGAAGGTGGTGGCGGTGGTGATGATGATGATTGAGATTTGTTTGTTGGTATATTAATCGTTGGTGGTAGTTGTGGTGGATAATTTAATTGTGGTAAGTTAACGATTGATGGTGAGTGGGTTGGTGTATGTGGAGTAACACATCCACTAATTGATAATTCATTTGAAGATGAAGAAGAAGGATTAGAAGAAAGATGTAGAGAAGAAGAATAATTTTGATTTTGGTTTTCTTCTCGTAATTCTTGCACTAGTTGTTGTTGTTCTCGTTGTTGTTGTTGTTGTTGTTGTTGTTGTTGTTGATATAACGACAATTCTTCTTGATGTTGAGATAATTCAAGATGTTCTCTTGTCGATGGAGATGGCGAGTTGACTGGTGTAATTATATAATTATTATTATTTGATGTTGGTTGTTGTGGAATTAGTAATAAGGGTGGTGATGAAGGAGATTGAATATTTCTTTGAGAGGAATTATATTCTTGTAATAAATTATTGTGATAATCTTGTTGTTGTTGTGATGGCGGTGGTGAATCAATTGGTGTATGTGGAGAGACATAACAACTTGGAAATTGTTCTTCTCCTCCACTTCCTCCTTGTAATGATGATGATTTCTTATTAATGTAAATTGATGATTTTAATAGTTTTTCATATTCGATCAAGACCCTTTGTTGTTGTTGAATTGTTAACGATGATAAATCATAACCATAAAAAAATACAAGCTCCAGTATTGACATGATTTATAAATTCTGGTTGAATGAATTTAGTTGATGGATTTAAAGTTAATACCAAAGAGTCGATTTTGGTAAAAAAAAAAATGAATATTTTTATTAAATTTCTAAAAATATTAGTATTTATAAATAAAAATTCAAAATTTATCACACATAAAAAATCATTGATACATATAAAACATTCACAGACTCATGCACATATATTAGCATATAATAATAAACGCGCGCATATATAAAAAAGTAGATCAAAAATTTACTTTTTGTTTTGTTTCTATTTTTATGACAATTAATGAAATTACGTGATTGATTAATTATTTGATTTTGATGATTTGGATGGCGGTGTCCATCCTTCAGGTTTATAATCATCGCTAGGTATCAAAGGTTTCTTGGAATCTATATGATATAATCATTATTAGTAAGTTAATTAACATACCGTAGATATATATATAATACCTTTATTAGCTAATAGGGAAGATCTTTTATTTTTTGATTCTTCCCATTCTTTATCTAATTTCTTTGCTCTACTCAATATTAATTCTTGTCTCTTATTATTATTTATAAGCTCCTTTTGATAATATTTATTTAATAATATATATTAAATATTTAATATATATATTGATAGATTATGTAATTATGTTATTTACCTCTATTGTAGGTGAATTAAACCTTGTATGTTTTAACCAGCTTTGCCATTGAACTAGCATTATTTATTGTTATTATTACATTAAATATTTATAATCTTATCAATAACTATAATCTTATTTACTAATTAATAAACATTACCTGGTATATCTTCTACAATATAATCACTAATAATGCCTTTTTTCTTCATATAAACAATTCGTTTAGTTCTACCGTTATCCATTATTGGTTTAATGCTTTCATAATATTCATTACCAAATAAATCACTACCGACTAATATTTGTCTTCTCCAGGGTAATCTTAATGTCTTCCATATATTCAATATTCTTTTCAACATATTTGATTTTTTTTTAATCAATGTAAGTAGATCAGTCAATCAACAGAATTTTTATCACGTGATAAACAATTTAATACTCGAATATTTTTGTTATCCTATTTGCACTTTTCATCTATCCTTTATCCTATATTATTTCGATCATGTGAACAGTGATTATGATTTGGAAAAAATCAGACAAAAGTGAACATTACGTACGTTACAAAAAAAGTATTTATATGATGAATCTTGGTTTTCACTTGACTTGCATTAGAAGCGATGCAAATAAACACCCATAATCTCACCTTGTGTTTGAAGAACACAAGAGTTTAAAATGTCACTTAAATAAATTTTCTACAAAGGATCTCGCTGTTTAGAAATTCGACAATTAATATCGTTACAGCCAATTATCTATCCATCTTTATATAACATCGTCTTAATTTCTCTTCTATGATCATTATTTCTCGAAGTTGACTTCCAAAGTTTCTCAAATGTATACACAAGCATGTACGCAAGTATTCAAATAAATTGAATCACACAGAAATCCAATTTTGGTATGGTGAGCAACTTGGTCAGCACCAATTAATACTTTTTCACTTTTTAGTTTTTCAAATTGGAAGAGACGGTCCAGGTAAAAAAAAATCAAACGAAGATTTGGTCTCTTGATTTTCAGAGAAGGTGAAAGGCAAATCATCGTATGAAGTAATAGTTATTTAAACTTTACTTTATCATTTGTTGAAAATGGTCAGGCGGAATAATTTGTAATGAATTGTTGATGTTTCATACAAGTAGCAGTGGTGAGAGACGATGATGATAATGGTAGTAAATTGGATCTTGATTTTTTTTATTAGGGAATTGTCCTCACTGGAATCATCTTAAGAATGAGAAAAACTCATTATTACAAATCATTATTTTTTGAATCTTCGGGTACAGGATATGCTAAATTTTCTCGAACTTCATCAGTATAAGTTGACTACAACTAACAAGATAGCTATTTGTATGGTAAAGTACCCAGATGTTATTTGTAAGCCCAACCTTTCGTATGCAACAAATAAAAACAGCTTTCGAATTTGATTTATTTGAATTACTCTTAACAAGGACAAAAAATCTCGAAGATTATGACTTTTTCTTGACATATTTATAAAAAGTAATATATTGAACCACCATCCCAATGTAGTTGGACGTTGATAAACAGTTCTATGGAAATGTCAAACATGAACCAGTTTTTTAACTTGATATTAAAACAAGCTTTTAAACGAAAACGTGACAGCGAGCTTCGTGCCTTTTACTTACACAACGACATCACTCAGGTCAAGACAATAGTCTATTTTGTTAATTCAAAAAAAATACAAATAGGACGGCTGTCCATTTTTTTTTCGTAACCTCTTATTAATTATTTTATTTAATTTTTTTAAATATATTATAAAAACGAAAAGTTTTTACTTCTTATTTTTCCTATTTAAATTCTTGTCTATCTGGAGATTACCTCGTAACTCTGAGAATAGAATGATCTGTATTTGTTTGCTTATATAATAATGAATAATAATAAATAAATAACTAGTTATTGACTTGATTTCAAAAAAAAAAAAATATATATATACACATCGTGAAAAACCAACTTTAATATATATATGGTAATAATTAAACAAGTTTTTTTAAAAAATTATTATCACATGGTCACAAATGATGCATTTATTATGTAAATAAAATATATAAAAACGTGCAAAATAAATTTTGTTCAAATATTAAAGAAAAATCTGTAAAAATGTTTGATTCTTTTTTTTTAACAAAAAAATTTATTATTTATTATTATTATAATGGAAGAAGAAACTGCTGTAGATAGAGGAGTCAAGTTTGAATTAGAAATTTTAAGAACATTAAAAGAAAATGTTGATATGGATTTTCACCACAGAGTAGTTGTCGAGTTATTATATATCTGAAGTTACGCTGCCACTAGGTGTAAATCGAAGAACTGGAAGCGCTTCGTGGCCACAACTTATGAAAGTTACCAGTTGGGTAACCAGACCTAACATACGGTGGACGATCTGTTGTGAACGTCCTTCTTCGTTACCGAAAAGTCGCAATTCTTTTGAACTAGATCTGGGTGAATAGGATATATAATAAATGATACACCGTTTGCGGAAACATTTATTTTGATAACGATGACATAATTACTCAAATTTTGTTTATATACTGTAGGGTAGAAATAACTTCTGGTGATAATGGAGTAGATATTGAAGGATTGTTTAGAAATTATTCTGTTGTTGTGCAATGTAAAAATCATAAAGGGAGTATTGGGTATGGTTATTTTTAATTCAATTATAATTATATTTTTTCAAAATATTTGAATTAAATTTATTTTTTTTTTTGAAAGTGTTGATATATTGTGTGATTTAGAAGCGGTAATATCTAGATATCCTAAAAATACTATTACTATAGGTATTTTAGTAATTCTGTGTAAAGCAAATTACACTAAAGATATAAAAAAAAGAGTTAAAAAACCTATGCAAATTATCTTAACTGATAAAACCCATATTTGTGTAGATATAATTCAATTTATTAATACCAAAATTGAAAACTCTAACGATAATAATGATTTAAAAAAATTAATCTCTTGTCTTGATGTTTTCTTTGTGTTTATTTATCTTTTATCCCAGATTAAAGGTCAAATTGATCGATTAGATGTTTTTTCTTTCAAATCTATATATCACTGTTGTATGTGAAATTGAAATATTATGGAGTGGGATGAATTCTGATTGGCTAATTTGAATTTCACACATGTAAATTGGAATTTCACATATGTGAATTGCGAATTCACATAATTTCATTTTCATTTTCACTATAGAAGAATAAATTTTGAATTGTTAAAAAATCAACTAAATTTTTTTTTTTCTTAATTAATCAACGTATTCTTTCCAAATGAAAATTTTTCATTAATCAATGATTTTATTGGTTTTTCCAAAAGGGACCAGATCATTCACTATCCTTCAAATGGTCAAATTCAAAAAAAGATTTGTTTTCTCCAAAAGGAAATTAAAATTTTTTCTTTCAAAAATTTTTTTTAATTAAACACGAACAATCAAAAAAATTTGCACACATTGTTTGTTTATCGATCATTAAATTGACAACATTTTGAAACCCGGTCTCGTGACCAGAAAATATCACAAACACGTTGTGTGACAACCCTTTGACGATCCGAGGTAAAGGTTCCAAGACAAGATCATCATTTTGAATGGTCCGAAATGTCAGAAAAAATCGAAGACCTAACGGTAGACAGCGGTCGACAACACGTAAAAAACATCTAAAGCGAAACACGATTTCCTTTCAGTCAAGTATCTGTTTCGCTCGATCCTGACGTTTTGAACCAAAACAGATAAGTTTTTCAGTTCACAAATCATGACAAACAGATAGCAATTGGGTTTCGCACGATATGGTGACGTAAAAACAATCACAACCATTTATCATTTTTTTGGGAAACGAAAATATTTCTGTTCAAATTTCAATTTTATTAAATTATTTCAAGCCAGCGCAGCAAAGAAAAAAAAACGACTTATCACAAAGTTTTGCCATTTGATTTTGATCTCTTCCTTCCCCGAAAATTAAGTTTACTAAAGCTGACGTTTAGAAAGTTACAGTTACAGTTACGGTAACAGTTACAGTTATTACGGTAACAGTTTCAGTTATGGTAACTGAAACTGTAACTTTCTTTACAACGAAACATTTCCCGTGCAACCAAACATGGGCGATTAGGGAAACATATATAAAAAAAAATAAATATTACACAAAATATAAAAAATCTACACAGAAATTACGACATTTAGTAAGGCACCATAACACGACAACCTTTATGTATGTTAACTATGCTCGCAGATGCATGTGATCTACATTTTCATCTCCAGCACGTTACAAGCGATGGGCGTAAAAATTATCTTGAACAATGACCAAAGTTATTAAGTACTTGATAACGATTAATGACTTAAAAAAAAAAACTTACAGATTTTTCATGGGTAATAAAAAATAGATTTTCATAATTTATCTATAAAAAAATAATTTCAATGAATAATCTATATTTAAATCAAAGATTAATTTGTTAATATATAGTTAGTTAATAATTTAGTGCAAAATTTGGAATTTCTAAATACCGTAATAATCAACGATCTAGACTCATTGTGTACATTGTGTAATTCTAAAATACTGTATATATACTAGAAAAAAATCAAAACAACAATGATTGGCTAAATATTATGCAGATCTTTTCATTGAAAAAAATAAAAAAAAATTCATTTCCAAATTTGGAAATCTCCCTGACTGATAATATATTTTTTTTTTTTATATAAGTGCATAATAATAATAATAATAAAATTCGGAATATGCGGTTTTAACCAAATCAGGTAATTACTACCAAATCTGACGTTATTATCTAATATACACTCTACACTCTGCACACTGATCTTTTGGATTAGTTAATAAGTAGTCAGCCAATCACTATTCGTTACGAATTAGTATTAGTGAATTGCGTTTCGGGGTTTTTGATAGAGCGCGGGATGTTACACGTTAATATTAAAAATATCATTATCAACTTATAGTGGTGATCTACACAACACTTTTTTAAGTCGGGCGGGGGGTCTTTTTTTGGTTTATATTATATTATAATGATAATTATGGAGGATTTACTGTGGATGATTTTGAGGAATATATTGCTTGCTGGTTGTAAGCACAGTTACGTCGTATTAGTCGCGGCCGGTTTTTTTGATTGTGGCAAGTATTCTTTATAATTTTGAACCCCTTTTTTTCTCAAAATAAAAATAAAAAAAAATTTATTTATATCATGATTTACCGACAAACAAGGATTTGTTATCCTGTAAAAAAGCAGCTAAAAATCAGGCCAGAGAAAATCACCTTTTTTTTATCAATGATTGTTACGAAAAATAATAGCCTGATTGATTATTAACCAATAATATCAGTTTGATTTTTAATATTTTATTAGAATGATTGGTTTTCTTGGACGAAAAAAATGATTGGAAAAAATTCTTTGATTAACAATAATTCAAATACTTCAAATATTAGTAATGATAACGATAATTCGTTTAGTTCACCCGAAGATGTATCATTAATAAAACCTTCCAAATCTCCAAACAACATTTCTTTATTATTAAATTTACCACCGCCACCGTTAATAGCAAACGATTTCGTTTATAACAGCAACAATTTACCTGAAGGTTCTTTTTCGCCAATTCCCATTCCTCTTCCTTTAACCTTTAATAATAATAACAATAAAAATACGATGTCCAGTTTTAGTTTTTCATCTTATTTTACTCCAACTTATAATGAACCTTTGAAAAAGAAAAGAAAAGGACCTGGTTATGTTGTTAGAAAATCCAAAAGGTCGTTCAAATCTGGTTTAAAAAATTATATTGATGACGACGACGATGACGACGATAAAATAATTGTTCCTTCGATGAATAAAGATTATTGTGAAGAAGAATATGGTGACGGTGCGTTAATGCTTGGCGAAATAAAATGCACTTATACAAATTATTAAAAAAAAATTTTATATTTATTTTATTTATTTTATTGATTTAGACTTTTCGAATAAATTAAATTTGCCCAATACTACTGCTACTACTACTACTACTAGTAGTACATCATTAGTAACGGATCAACAAACCAATCACTCCAAAAAGAAAGTCGCCCATAATGTAATTGAAAGACGTTATAGAGATAATATTAATAATCGTATCAACGATCTTAAAAATGTTGTTCCTGCTCTTTGTCATGTAAAAGGTAGTAGTAAAGATGACAATGATGGTGACGATGAATATGAGAGTAATAACGATGAAAAGGTGGTGGATGGTATTAGAGTACCCCAAAAATTAAAAAAAGCTACAATTCTAGAAAAATCCACAGAATATATTCTTTACTTGAAAAATAACAATGATAAACTTAAAGAAGAAAATGATGAATTAATAAAAATAATTGCAAGTTTACCAGGAGGATTTGATTTATATCATGAATATTATTGTCAAAGCCAGCGTCAACAATTGATTTCTTCTGATTTATCACCTTTTATGCAACCTGTGTACACTCCTCTTGACGCTTCCCCACAACACACCAATAGCCCTGCTAGCTATTCTTCTTGTGACGATATCATCTCCTCCTCAAACAACAATAGTAATGGATCTAGGGTATTTATGGCTTTATTTATGTACATGACATTCTTTTCGTCATTTCCTTCAACCCACTTTCTACAATCTCGTGATCATCCTCGAGGACGTGTTATATCGAGTTCTGTTAATACTAATAATGATGGTAACAACGACGGATTTACCATTGATATTTGGTATAAATTATTAATTATTAAATATGATGATTTTTACTATTTTATTTGACGATTTTTAATAAGTTTTTTATTTATTTGTAGGAACTTGTTTCATTTACTTACTCTACTTGTATGTCTCAAATATCTCCTTAAACCTTTGCTATTTTTTAAAAAATAAAATGTTTTTAACTGAATCATTATTGATGACGGTGAGCTCTCATTAAAGTTAATAATAATGGTATTAGTACAGTTACACTGAACCCAAATTTTTTGTTTTTATTAATCTTAATTTAATGTGTAAGGTTCACTGTAACGAGAATTATTATTATAAACATGTATATATAATATTATTTATAATAAAATTATATTTGACTAATGATTTTGATAGTTTCAAATGGATGATTATTCTTCTATTTGCATATTTCTTTTTTCTCTCCAGAAGATTTTTTTTTTTTCTTCTTTTACTATTTTCATCCGTATTTAAATTTTAGCAGGTGAACTCGGACATTTATTTATATTATTATCAGCAAAGTACTTTAGGCAATTGGTTGATGATTGAGAACTTATCGATCGAGTATTTATTCTAACAAAGATTATATGGGACAGTGATGGGTAATGACCGTTGGTCATCGATAATTTGGTCATTAATTTTATGACCTCCATGACATTCATGACTTGAACCTTAGGTCATAAGCAACATGCATGTTAAAAAATAGGTTGTCGTTATCAGTAATAAACTTAATTAGTTACAATTAATGATTTAGCTACCAAGTCATTCTAATTAATAATTGGACTTTTGTCCAATTACGGAGGTTCATAAATGGTGTTTTGTGAAAAGATATTTTACCTTTTGCAAGTTTGATTGTTCAAAAAGACAATTTCACTCAGAGAAGTTAAATATATTATATAAATTTAACGTTTATATTGTAGCGGTAGAAATGGCATTAGTATAGCTAGCTACATTTCATCAAAAAATGCGACAATATTAACAAAATTGTTGTAGTTGGCAAAATATAAAATTCAGAACAATTGGCTGGTGGCTATAATCCGCTTAAACCGGAAGGGGAACGTTTTGTATAATAATAAAAGTTTCTATAATAATAACAAAATCCTAAAAGTTCTTATTCCCTGATTTGTGACATAAAATTGTGATTTTCTAGGATTTTTTTTCATCAGATCGTCAATCAATGATTACTTCTCTCTAAACATTTTCTCAATAAATAAAATGTCCTATAATTATAGGAAATTCTTTACACGAGCAAATTATTTATTTTCCCAACTCTCCGTTGCCACTTCCCTTCAATTTAAAGTACAAACGCATACATTTTCGATTCGAAACTATGCAACTGAATCAGATAAAATTTTTCAAAGAGTGAAGCCACATGTAAATATTGGAACAATAGGCCATGTAGATCACGGCAAGTATTTAGGATTATATTGCAGTCTATATATTAAAAAAAAGTTAACAGTGGTATCTTTTTTAACTGTTTAGGAAGTATATGTCACATCTATCTTAAGGACTCTTATTTTTTTTAAATAAAGGGATAATATTATTTTTTCGAAGATCTTTACAATTGGTGTTTTTATTCTCTATTTTTTCTTTTAGAGACCACTTTAACAGCAGCAATAACAAAGTGCTTGGCTAAAAAGGGAAAGGCAAAATTTAAGGATTACGGTGAAATAGATAAAGCACCAGAAGAAAAGGCAAGAGGAATCACAATTGCAACTGCACATGTTGAATATGAAACAGAGGCAAGGCATTACGCACACATTGACTGTCCTGGTCATGCAGATTATATCAAGAATATGATTACTGGAGCAGCTCAAGTAATTTTAAAAAAATCCTTTTTTTCTTTTGGAAATCTATAAATATTATTTGATTCTACCTCGTTGTGATTGTGATTTACTTCTATTATTTTAGATGGATGGTGCTATTATCATTGTTTCAGCTACAGATGGTCAAATGCCACAAACACGTGAACATCTGTTACTTGCTAAACAAGTCGGTGTTTCGTCTCTTGTAGTTTTTGTCAATAAGGTTGATGTGGTCAATGATCCCGAAATGTTAGAATTAGTAGAAATGGAAATGCGTGATCTATTAACACATTATGGTTTTGATGGTGAAAAAACGCCTATTATAGAAGGGTCTGCATTGGCAGCGCTGGAAGGAAGAGATCCAGAAATTGGTGAAAAGGCAATTGAAAAATTAATGAACGCTGTTGACACACATATTCCCACACCGATCAGAGATTTGGAAAAACCATTTCTAATGTCAATTGAAGGTAAATTGCCAATTTTATTGGTAAAGGAATTTCTTTTATATATCACATAGCAGTAAAAATGCTACTTTTATTTTAAATCATTAATTAGATGTTTTTAGCATTTCTGGGCGTGGTACTGTGGCAACGGGAAGAGTCGAAAGAGGGACTATCACTAAAGGTGAAGAAATAGAAATTGTTGGTATGGGTCCAACAACCAAAACCACATTGACAGGAATAGAAATGTTTCATAAAGAGTTAGATAAAGGTATGGCAGGTGACAATATGGGAGCATTATTACGTGGAATAAAAAGAGAACAAATTCACAGAGGCCAAGTACTTGCGGCACCCGGTACAGTTAAATCACACAGAAAGTTTAAATCACAACTATATGTTTTAACCAAAGAAGAAGGTGGTAGACATACACCTTTCACGCAAAACTATAGACCACAAATGTATTTTCGTACATCAGACGTTACAGTCACATTAACATTTCCAAGTGGTATAGAAAATCCGGAAGAAAAGATGATTATGCCAGGTGATAATGCTGAATTACAATGTGAACTTGTACATGATATGGCAATTGAGCCTGGTATGAGATTCACTATTCGCGAAGGCAATAAAACTGTTGGAACTGGTAAGCATTAAAAATATTTTTGAAATATTTTTTCTTCCATTTATTTTTTATTTTTATTTTTTATTTTTAACTTTTGTTTTTTTTTTATTATTTGTTTAGGTGTTATTATTGAGATTAATGAATAAAAAAATTGTTTTGTTTTTTTTTATTTGATAATGATTGCTAAATGAGGTTTTTTTTTCCTTATGACTATTCTAATAAAAATGTATTAAAATTTTGATTGCCTGTTCGTTTTTTAATTAATTAAATTTGTCATTTGTATTTTATGTTCTAATCCTTTTGTTACTTCTAATGCTTGTACACAACTTTTTATTGAATCACATACCAGTTTAATATGCGACACATCATTTGAAAGTTTTAATTGATTTCGTAGAAATTCAAGAGTTGAAAATAATGTCGAAACAGTTTGTCTAACAACATATGAATTATCTTTTGTTTCAATGATAATAGGTTTTTCAAAATATTGTTGATTCGTTGACTATGAAATGTAGACAATACAAAAAAAAAAAATTATATTGATTATTATTGTACATCTTTTTTTATTTACAAAAAGATTAATTAAACCTTGTAAATATTTACCTCAATTTCTTGTTTGTGTTTTTCTTTAAGACTCAAAGTGGAAGAAGAATCGTGTGAAGTGGCGATTTTATATTTTAATGAGCCTAAATCTGATTCATTAATGTAATAGTTTTGACATATTACACAAAAGCTTTTCTTATCATTGGAACGAACCAATGGTATCTATATTAAATATTAAATAAATTTTATTATTTCTTATTATTTGTATAAAAAAAAATATTTTTCCAACTTACAGAACAACATTTATCATTGGGACAAATTTCATCAGTTAAAGCCCACCCCTTTAACAAATATTGTCCAATAAGTTGTGAAGCTTTTTGTGATTGTTCACGTTGTAACTTCAACTTCTCTTTTTCCTCCCGATTACCATCATTGTCACCACCATCATCATTATTAAGAATAAGGTTGTTGTTGTTGCTATTATCGTTGCATTGACTTTGAATAATCTTTGAGCTTGAAAGCTCTCTACTTTCATTCATTGAAGAAGATGATGCATTATAACTTTTTTTTGAAGCATTTTCAGTTTCCTTGTCATCGCAAATAACACAAAAGCTTATCGATTTGTCTTTTGAACGTAGTAAAGGAATCTAACAAAGTAAAAAAATCAGAATAAGAATTTTAAGAAAAAACTCGTTGTCGAATTATTTTTTTCTTTTAAAATTATTTACATTACAATTAGGCGTTGAACAAATTGTATCAGTCATAACCTACGTAAATAAAAATTAAATCTACAAGGCATCAAAATCAAAATAAATATCATTGTAATCAATTCATTCTTATTATTATTATTTTACCCATCCTGCAAGTAAGTATTTTCCCAAAAGACTGGTTGCAATGTCTAAATTATTTGACATTTTTTAAAAAAAATTTTTTTTTTTGTTTGTAATTCAATCTTATTGATTATCACGGCCAAAATAAAATGATTAATCATTTATAATAAATGTTGAAGATAACGAATGCAAGATGTTGAAATTACAGGCACATCATCCCAACCTACTAATTCACAGTTAACTATTTTTCTAAAATAAAAAAGATTGGTGGACCTTTATCAGAAAATTAGAAAAGGCATTAATGATACATCAATGATATATTTATTTGAGTGTAGTAGATCAAAGAAGCAAAAGATTATATGTTAAATAATCATAACATTGCGATTCCATTTCTCGATCCACTACCTTCTGAATATAAGTTTGGATTCAAGAAACTGACTGCTTTTTATTTAGTTGGTAGTCATGCATTGAAAAGTTTGGCAATAGATAGATATCATTTTATTAAATCTTGGATCATTCAAAAACAGATTTTCCAAAACTTAATCGTGTGGCTCATGTTTAACCATGTTATCCTATGGATTTATTTCCTTTTCAACGCATAAATTTAATTACAATTCAAATGCTGCTAAATTATTTATTGCGTTACTATTAATAAGGCAATTTGTAAAGTTAGTTAACGAACCTACTCTTTTTAAACTAATGTATTTGAGATTAAGGACTTACAGTGAAAAGATCTGAAATTAGAAGTTTATTCTATCTACTCATCCCATAGTATTATTTAAGAATGTTACAAAGTTTTTAACACAATTCCTCTTTTTTAGCTCTCATTTACTTTTTTGAAGTCTTGATGGTTATTAAAATACGAACCTTTTATTATTCTAGAACCAATTAAAATTATGTAGATCATTCCCTGACTGAAATATTGAATATTTGGTTGATAGGATATTTGATAAGTTCCCTCCCTCTGTTTGTTCATTTCTAGCTTCCATTCATTTAAAATGGAAGAAGATCATTTAGTCACTGTAATAGGAGAAAGTAATAATACAATAATGAGAGGGGAGGAGTCTTCTGCTGCTCATATTTCGAAGAAAAGGGTGGTTCTAAAGAAGTCAAGTGTGAGGTGGAAAGAAGATCCCTATTTTGTCAAAGTTAGCTACTAAATACTTGTGCGCACTTACAACATCTACTCCAAGTGAGAGATTATTTAGTCAAACTGGAATACAAAAAGAACAAAACCTAATCCACTTTTATTTGATAAGATTGAAAATAAATTTTGATGATTCTGATAGATGTAAAATGATTAATAATAAATTTAAAATTTTTTGTTAACAATGAACATTCACTGAATAGTCACCGAATAATCTAAAACGAAATGCAAAACGTTTAAAAATCTTTCTTGTTGTTGAATTGAACAAATTCTTATTATTATTTGAATTACTTGAATTATTCAAACTATTCGTTTTGTTCTTCTTATTAGTTATTCGAATTATTCGTTTATTTCGAATTATTTTATTCGAATTATTCGTTTTTTTATTCGAATTACTCGCTTTATTCGAATCATTCATTTTATTCTCTAAGTTGACAAACTCGAGTTAAGCCTTGAATTTTCAAGTTCGAGTTGAGTTCAAGAAAAATAGGGGTTTAAATTGTTTTTAGAATTAATCATTCATTACCTAAAAAAAAATTATATAACATCAAACTTGAGCTCGACTCGTTCAGAATTTCAAGTCAGTTGCAGACACTTACTTTATATATAACATTAATTAGATTTGAATGTATATAGTGTTCCATTTAGGCAATAGTAATTATTGCCAAAATAACGGAGTATCACATGATATGAAGTTTTTGAATTTTGTCATGTGATTTTTATGATTTTGATGTCTAGGTGATTTGCACATTTTCATTAGTTATTTCAATTAATACATCCTTTTTTAAATTAATTAACATCATCATTGTTATCACAATAACCATCAGCATGGACCCCAGGGACTACTATATACAGTATGTAACAAAAATTCTTTGGAAAAAATAAATTGAACACTGTAAAACAACCACTGTATCAATTTGTATTAAAAGCAACTCATCTGATAGGTTAAAAACAGTACTTTTATTGAATATATTTACTGTTTCTTTTAATTGCAAGCTGGTGCCCTGATTTTTGAACAAATCAAACTATTAGAAATAAATTGGGATTTAGATCCCACTTTCCTATGATGAATTGTTCCAATTTAACTTCTATTCCACTATTTGATAATTTGATTCATGAGTTGGAAGAAATACTAATAATCCTGTTTCCTCTGACCATTACCACCTCTGCAAACTATATCTTCAATTTATTAATATGGAAACAGATACAGTATTTCAGAATAATTGGTGTATTTTGTGGGGTGAAAGTAACCTCTTTGATTCAATAATATAATTGCAAAAAAATCAACAGCATTCAACCCTCTTATGATTGTAAAAACAAAATTACTCAAAAACTAATTATTGGATTCAATTAGTGAATGATTCAAAATGATATTAAAAAAAGTCAACATTTTATTTGAAGCAAATTGGTTGTATTTTTTTGCTCACAATTGTTGCATATTTTAAATTTTTATTTATATATTAAGCATATTTAGAAATTAAATTGGTAGTCGCATATGATTCTTGCAGAATAGCACATGGTTATAATCGTATTCCTAATTATTGTAGTGTTAAATGGACAACATGAAGGATACTTACTGGCTGCGACTTTTGAAGAAGGTCGTAACCATAGATGTTGACCAAAATTACTGCCAAATCCAATTCCAAAATAGTTGCAACCTAATTTGTGGCAGTTTTTTAATTGCAAGCAGATATCCTTAGTTATGAACAATCAAGAATTCAAGACTTTGCGAATGATTTTAGGTAGTGATCAAAAACCGGATCGAACCGGTTATTAGACCGGTTCAGTTTGGTTAACCATGAACATGATCAAATAAGCTTTATTCGGATTAGATCAGCCAACAAAAGTACACGCATGATTATGATTGATTATTTTCGTTATTTTCATTGTCTGGTATAGATAGATATAGTAACAAGTTGGTTATTGTTGATGGGAAAAAACTTTCTCTTTAATCATCGAAAAAAAAAGTATTATTATTATCTCTTTCTAATTATTTTCTTTTATAATCATATATGTATATAAACACGCGTTTTTTAAAATTTTTTTTCTCACAACAGTTAATTAACAAGATTTAATAATATATTTCTGGAATGGCGAATTACAGAGAGCAACAGCAGCAACAAAGACAACAAAATCAACGACGAATGACATCTTCAACTACTCAAAATACTCAAGGTGATAATAATATTAAAAGTAATAATATTAATATAGCCATGATAACATTAATAATAATATGATAATAATTAAATAACTTATTTTATATATTTTTATCAATTAAAGAAAAAAATAATGAAGAAAGCAAACAAAAGGTTCCAGAAAATTATAAGCATAATACTAGAGTTATCAATAATGGTTATGGTGATGGTAATAATATAACAAATTTAGAAGAAATTGATCTAATTAATTTAGATGGCGCGACAGTTACATACAATCAGCAGAATAATAGTAGCAATAATAATAATTATAATTGCTTGATTGAGACGCTTTTATGCGATCTACACTTTGGAAGTAAATCGTCAATAGGTGATGTTGTTAACGTATTGCAACCAAAGTCATTAGCAATCAACGAGAAATCAATTCTTGATAATAACCATAATAATAAAAATGGCAATGTAGAGAAACCAATTGTTAATAATAACGTTGAGAAATCAATTATTAAACAAGATAATAAGAGTGTTGGTGATTCGGCACAAATTGAGTACCAACAAATTGTGCCATGTGATAATAATGAAAAGGATGTTAGTCGTGATATTATTAGTGAGGTTGATAATAATAATGATAATAACAAATATCAGAAAAAACCAATTATAAAATTCAGATCAAGAAAAAGCTATTCATTTTGTGAATTATTAATTTATCAATATTCACCAATTTGTCAAAATCTTAAAATTGAATTTAGTAAAGAAGCTTACAAACACAATCTAGTATTGAAATCAGCCAAAAATAAAGTTAATCACGATAAAAATAATAACAATAATAACAACAATGACAAAAATACCAATAATTTACAAACAAATTTTAATTTGTCATTCTTGAATGATTTAATAAATGCAAATAATGTGTGGATTTCCTTGGCACGTGAACAAGATTTGATTAGATGTAGGGATCAAAGTTGGTGTTATCAACACTCAAAAGAAAGAGTTCACCATGCTGATAAATGTTTGTCACAACATGGTAAAAATACCAATTATAAAAATGTTGATTCTAATAAATCATTTGATAATTACAGAGGAAAGTTAAATTATTAGTTATTAAATATAATAATATATCTTGGAAGGCTTGGGGACTATATATATGTATATGCGTATTAGGAATTTATAATATATGGTATTATTTGTATATATATATATTAGGAAGTTATAATATATGGTGTTATAAAAATGGTAAAGGAATGATGTATAATATCTTATTTTTAATTCAAAAAATTTTTTATTTTTTTAAATAAAAAATTTTAGCAAAATAAGTTGTTCTTAATATTCAATCAAATAATATCAAACCTTTTTCAGCAATAATAACATAAATGATATTTTTTTCTTCAAAATATATGTATGTGTGTAAATATAAATGTTGTATTCTACTTGGGTTTCTTCTTTGAGTCCCATCCAAGAATACTAAATAAATGATTGATTAACTTCAAAAAATCAAATCTAACTATTAAATTATTATCTGTCTATATATATTTACTTTTCTTTTTCCTTTACTTTTTTGGTTTTGATTTGGTTGTTTTATTCACTCATGACTATAAATACATATTTATTCTTTTAGTGTATAAGTTCAAAAGCTCTTGCTTTACTGTTGTTACCATCGCCATTATTATTATATCACCATTATGACAAATAATCAATGGCACCTTCAGCATCATTCTTAACAATAAAAATCATATGTATAATTTGTAGATCATGAGAAAAATTAGAATAGGACTGGTCCTATTTTTATATCATGTAACCAATTTTGGATCAAAAGAAACCCTTTGTTACCCAATTATTTTTCATACTAAGCAAACAAGTGCAGGACATCTATAGCGGTCAATGATTATCACAGGCTTATTAAAAAAAGAAAAAGAAAAAAGCAAACCGATAGAATTAAAAGATAAAGACCTATGATTCATTTCCATATGTTCATTTTATTAGAAAATTTTTGTTATAAGGCTTCAAAGTTAGAACATTTATATTAATATATATATGTCGGAATGATCTTCCTTGTGATTTCCTAAAAGGCCAATAATCGTCTTAAAAATTTCCGTGATACAGAAAGAAATATGAGAAAATTACTAGATCTAAAATTTTTAAATTTCGGACTGTGATGACTTTGAACCATACTAATACATAATAGATTAACACAAGTTTGGTCAAATGACCTTGGAAGCGGTTTTCAATGCGCAAATTATTTAAAAAAGGGGATCTGGCTTGAGATTCCAGCAAACAGGGCCTAATATTCTCACTAATATAATATTTGTTATAGAAATTTGGTCAGATGACCTCGGAGACTATTTTTGCTGGAAAAGGTCCCCCCAAGTAAATAAATATTACGTCATACTACTGGAATTAGGTATATAAATAACGCTGATAGCATTATAAATACATTGATTGATATTTAATAATAAAAAAAATTTTTTTTCACACAATCTCTTACATTTATTTCCAAATAAAAAAATGAGTACACCAGAATTACCATATGTAGTTGATGCAGATATACCATTATCTCCTGAAGAATTAAATGTAGGAATATGGAGTTATATATATATTTATGCATTGTTACATGTGTGTGCTTACAATACTATTATTATTACTATATCACAGGTCCTTCGAAGACAATATTTACGAGAAGGAAAAGATGTTACAACACAAACAAAATTTAATTATGCATGGGGTTTAATTAAAAGTAAGAAGAATACAGAGCAAGAAGAAGGAGTCAAATTGTTGAAAGGTGGGTTTAATGAGTACGCGTTTAACAAGAAAAGAAAAATGTCAAGGAATAATTAACACAGTGTTTATGTGTGTGTGTGTATTACATTAACATTAATAGACATATTTAAAGAATCCAAAGAGCGTCGTAGGGAATGTCTTTTTTATCTTGCATTGGGACATAATAAATTAGGGCATTATAATATAGCAAGAAGCTATAATAATGAATTGTTGTCAATGGATCCTGAAAATTCACAAGCACTATCTTTAAAAAAGAAGATAGAAGATAGTCTTAATAAAGGTTATTATTATTGTAGTTAATTAATTTTCTAATTATTTATGAAAGATCATTATAATTAATAAATTATTAATCTAAAATATTATTAAATATAGAGGGTAAATTAGGAATTGCCATCGCAGCATGTTTAACTACAATAGCAGTTGTTGGTACTATTTTAGTCACCTCACTTGGCAGAAGGTATTATAAATATTATATTGATATACTTATTTTTTATTAACTTTTAAAAAATTTATTTAAAAAAGTTAATTAACATAAATTTATTTTAGAAGAGATTAATTTTCTTCACATATATATTTATATATATAAAATAAATAATGCAAATTTGGAACCTGAAAATTAGTTTATTTTATATATATATATAATTTTTGCTTATGATGACCATTTTTAAATCTTCATCAGAGATCCATATTATTTTTTGGCGCAAGCAAAAAGTAATTCTCCAAGAAAATTCTTAATGTATCGGGAAACTTGTAGAGAACTTCTATATATAATAAATAACTATTATAGCACAAATTACGATATAAATATAAAAATAGTAAAAAATTTCTCGTTTTAACAAAAGGTGTCACAAACATAACAGACATTAAAAATTAAAAGTAATCGCACGAAAAAAAATCTATAAAATGTTTTTTTAATAATAAAAAAATGTGTGATACAAGAAGGTAAATTTCAAATAATTCTTATTCTTTCTTACAAATTTATATATATTTATATATTACTACTTGTTAAAATGGCATTAAAGAAATAGTTACGGGGGAGAAAACTTTAGAAAAACCAATAACAATAACGAAAAGAATAGCAATTCTAAATATAATTATAGTAACAACAGCAACAACAACCATAGTAATGCTTATAATAACAATAATAGCAGAAATCATATTCAATTTGATAAAAACAAATATTTTCCAACAATTGGTGTAACAATTTTGGAGATTGATAATGATTCTTACTGTAATATTTCAGAACTTAGATATCAATTCTTAAAGTATGAAGGACCTGATACAAATCATCATTTAATAAAAGAAAACAAGTATTATCTTGATTTTTGTAATAATAGTAGTGGTGGCGGTATTGTTAATAGCAGTAGTAATAATTATAATTATAATGGTAGTAATAACAACAATTGTTATGGTGTTAGTAACAATAATTATAATAACGGTAATAACTATAACAATAACGGTAATAACTATAACAATACAATAATTACCACAACAACAGCAACTGAAGCAACTAATGGTAAAGATGATGAAGAGTTAGATGATTTGATTAAACAATTTGATACAGCTTTAACAGTTCAAGGCAGATTCAGTTCATTCAAATTGTCTAATAAATTGATTGATTATATTGATTTTATATCTGGCGAAGTTGAAAAGGCCGAACAAGTAGATTTTGAAAACAAAGAAATAAGATTTATGTTATATTTTGGTAGAGAATTATTTATGAAAATTCCACAAAATATTATTAATGTTAAAGATTGGTTTAAGATAAAACGTGGTGGCAGATTTGGTATTCGTACAACATTTCAACACGATGCTTCAATAATTATGAATAAATTAGATTTAATCAAAGAACAATTTGGGTTCAGGGAACATCCTAATAATATTAACCTAAATGGAAAACCAATTAGTATTACAATTTATTATTTAGATGAAGAAAAAGAAAAAAAAATAAAACTACATTGGGACAAAATAAATGGTATTAGTATGAATATAATATTATTTGTCAAAAATTATGGTATAGTCATTATTATCTAATAATAAATAATATAATGATTAGAAATTTGGAAGATAACAGAATCAAAAAGTGATATGAAACGAAATGGTAATATTTCAATCAATCAGTCAATCAGTTAATCAATACACGTATTTACATATTATATTTATTATCATTTTATATGTTTAGCGTTAATTGATATTATATCAGGAGATTCAAGACCAGATCTTAGATTTTCAGTGAAAACTCAAACTGATATCAAAGTTTCTGATGATATAATAAAAGTAATTGAAGAAGTTCAATTAAGCAAATCGATGAACCCAAATGATTTATTATATTTTAGAAAAAGTGATTTTGTTGATAAATTAGAAATTGTCAGCATTAGACAAAAAATGAATAAAAAACGATACACGTATGTAACATTAACATTATTATCATTATTTTTTTCCTAATCTTTATATTATTAATGACATTAATGCTATTGTTATTATTATTTGACAAATATAAAGTAATGAAAAATTTCAAATTACAATAAATACAATGTTACAAGATGCAGGCGAAGAGTCTGTGGAAGAACAAAAAATATTTAATTTAAAATATTTAACATGGAAAGGTTTTTATAATAATAATAAAAACACCAACGGTAGCAATAGAAACAATAGAGGAAAACCTATTAACAAAAATTATATTTTCACCATAACTCAAGAAATAATTGAATATGGAAGAGAGATTGTTAAATTTATTTTTTAAACAAAACATATACCATATGATGATTTTTAGTTTTATATTATTTTTGCATAGATATTTTGTTTTTATGCTAATATAAATTATTCATTCATTATCATTATTTAAAGAAGTGTTTGAAACCATGAAAATAAACATAGAATGAAAATTACTCTTTATATTATATCTACTACATTTATTACTTTTCTTTTGCACTTTTGCTTGTTTTGAAACATAATATTCTATATATATTATACATAATTATAGGATAATGCATAATATGGGCATACTCAGTGACGTTTCCAACGGGAATATGAAACGCCAATGGAATACTCGAGAATTTTCACATTCCAGTTTTCCAATGATTATTCCGGTGTTACTAACCCATTGGAAAATACTTGTTAGATTGTGAGAATTTTAAAGCCTGCTATTCTGATGAAATTGATCAAACAAAAAGCATCGCAAAATAGATTTAGTAAATGTTTAACCATACCTGAGATATTATCATTAAAGATGGCTTTGCAACTAGGAGGTTATCTTCTGTTTCGTGAATAATATATTTTATTGTTATATTAATTATCTGTATCATTTCATCACTTGATAATAATATATTTATTACAGAAAGAAGTTATATTGAGATTGATTTGATTTAGGGACTGAAATACTTGATGGTGGAATTATTACAGCAGCTCAAGAAGTACCCGAAGAAGAAGAAAAAGAAGATATGGGCCCACCAATATCTAATAAAATTGCTTTTAGAAAGCATTCAAAATCTATAGAATTACTTGCAACAGATTTAAATGGAAAATTGATAGGAAACAAATTAATTCTTTAATACAAACTAGTATGGATATTTATTTAAATAAATAATGGTGATTTTTTGTTTTATTATTTTTCAACTTGTAATAGTAATCCGACTTGTAACATCACATCATTATTGTTGATCGACATTATGTGACATTATTTAATTTTAGATTGTGACTTATGATAATAAATAATACATATCTTTTTTTTTAAATAATTAGAATTTAAGAAATAATGAAGCACCTCGCAGCATACTTATTGCTCACCCTTGCAGGAAAAACTCCTGATGCTAAAAGTATCAAAGCTCTTCTTAAAACTGTTGGTATTGAAGGTGATGATGCTAGAATCAAAACACTATTATCAGAGTTAGATGGAAAAGATCTCAATGAAGTAATTAATTAATTTTTATAAAATTTTTTTTCAAGTAATTTAATTTAATTTAAAATTTACTAAAAAAAAATTTATTTTCTAGTTAATTGCTGAGGGTACATCTAAACTTTCGTCTGTTCCATCCGGTGGTGGTGCTGTTTCTTCAGGTGGTGGTGGTACTGGTGGTGGTGGTGGTGGTGCAGCTGAATCTGCTCCTGTTGAAGATACTAAAGAAGAAGAGAAAGAAGAATCTGATGATGTAAGTATTGATTAAAGTCACAAATGAATATATATTTGGACGTTTAAATTTTAACAATCGATTTTTATTTTTTAATAGGACATGGGCTTTGGTTTATTTGATTAATAAAATTCGTAATTTTATCATCACACACACACACACATATATATATTTACAATCAATAAAAAGTTGAAGCAGTTATTGAATACTCTTAAAATACATAGAATATTAGCAATTGATTTTTAATAAATAAAATTTAATATTATTATTTCATTAACACTGAATATGATGAGTGTATGTTAATATATAGTGAGAGAATATGGTTTGGATTTAAATGTTGCAGTAATTTTTTTAAAAATGTCTTTAATATATGTATATATATATATGTTGTATGTGAAATTGGATTGGGGTGAAATTCTGATTGGCTAATTTGAATTTCACATATGAATTTCACATAATTTCATTTTCACGTACAACATATGTATATGGGACATGATGCAACAAAGCGAGCATATCAAGGTTATGTATGACCTTTATCGTTGGATCAAGTTATAATATACGGTTTTTATTTTTTCCTAATGGATGACGCTCCCACTGGACATTTGAGATGAAATAAGGAAATAGGGACGTAGAAACTGATAAATGCGATTCTACTTAATATGAGGTGTATCCATAAAAATTCCATATAAAATACTCAACAAACTCTGATTTATCCATGTCTCAGATGTGTTTTTTGACATAGGAGAAAATAAAAAATACCAATCACATCAATAAAATTGTGTAATGAGCATACAAATAGGAGATGATTATATGTGTTGTTGTTGTATAAAATACTATGTGAGGATTAGAGGGATTATTGGTATGATAATAGAGAGGTTTTTGTGATTTAAATAAAAGTACATATGACTAAAACCTTCCCTTTTGGTGACAAATTTTCCCGAAATGCATCCCAACCTTTATGAATGAATGTATCAGTCACGTAATGCAAAAGTACTCAATACATTCAGCAAAAATTACGAATCTAACCTTGGAATGAAGTACCACTGCTAGAATAGTCAGAAGAGAAGGAGATTTTTCTGGAGCGTCAGTAACCTCCAACAACTCATTATGTCGAATTTTTACAGAAATTATCCACAACAATCTGTAGTTTTTTTACACTTGCCTCTCTTTGTTACAATCCAACTTTTTCGATTAATTTTATGAGTATATCCGTCAAATTCTTAGTCATTAATTTTATTTTATTCATAACTCTGGGTTTCTTCTGTACATTTATTAATAATAATTTTTTTTATTACATGCAGAATTATAAATGACAATTCATATTTAATGGAAAAACTGCCAATATAACTTCATTTTTTCTACTAACATTGAAACGAAAGGTCGTGGTAAAAAAAAAGACTAAATATTTTATAATGAAACTTTTCTTAGAGAGGTTTTAGTGTATAGAAGTTTGCCTAAACTAAATTGTGATAATGCCGAAATTCAGAAAAAAAAAGTTATAGAAACTAATAATTCGAAACTCAGTTATTTTGCCAAAACTGCACCATATGTGGATGATTTCCAGGTAGGTCTGACTTTTATCCCTGTATTCGGAGGGATACAGCACTGGTCCATATATCTTGAGTGAATTATCCGACAAATACCCAAAGATCGATAAGATCAATAAGGGGGATATCCCTCTTATATGTTTTCCCAACTGAGGGATGAAGGTGTAACCTTCTGGGAATTGTCTGCATGGGCTGTAGCTATATAAACACTCTTATTATTCCCACAAAGCAAACAATGAATAGATTAGGAATTACCCAAGAACGTTTTATTGATAATATATTTAGGAAGATACTCTTCATGCCTTCATTTTCAATTTTGTAATTTGTAGATGATTCTCTGCAAAAATTTTTTACAACATAAATAAAATGATTTCTTTTCAGCAATCTTGATTAAGTTTAAGGACAGGATAATATCTTTATCTTTAAATAAAGAAAGGAGATTTTTTTCATGTAAAAAATAAAAACTAATATTTTATTATTTGAATGTGCCATTTATAAATGGAAAATATTATATACAGAAAGGTTCTTTTTATGGAATATCAGCCCATGCAGACAATTTCCAAAAGGTTACATCTTTATCCCTCAGTTTGTAGGGATAGAGCCTCGGCCTGGGAAAACATATGAGGGATATCCCCCTTGTTGATCTTATTGATCTTTGAGTATTGGTTGGATAATTCACTCAAGATCTATGGACCAGGTGATCAGAGAGATATATCTGTGTATTTATATTTATCCCTTGCCAGGCTAAAGCTGTATCCCTCCGAATACAGGGATAAAGGTCAGACCTGGTGTGGAATATACAGAGCCTACAAAAGTGGCAATTAATTCTACAAAAAAAGAAACTAAATTGTAGCTCAAAAATTTTGTAAAACCAATGTGACATTTTATCAATGATGTGATAATTAAATTTGTGGGCTGGGGTGGCAGGAATTACGGAGTGCTTACCAACTCTAAGAATTGATTCTTATTTGTCACATAGGAACTATATGTTTCATAAAAAGAACCTTTCTGTATATAATATTACCCTTTATAAATTTACATGTAACAAAAAAATTTTCTTATGATAAAATCAAATATGATGAAATTATTATGAAAATTTTATTGGATCATATTATGTGTAATGTTGGAAGCTCATCCCAAACCAAATGACATCATTTTGGGCACTCCCTAAACAATTAAGAAATGAAGAGAGAACCAAATAATTAAAACTATTGAACCTATTAAAGACTGAAAGCAAAAAACTAAAGAGGCTAGATTAGATGCTAAAACTCACCTTGAAGCCTTAGAAGTAGCCCAAGAATGAAGAGAAAGACATTTAGCTGAGAAATTAGAGCAATTAGAAATTGTCAAGAATCAGGAGATAAGTCAACATGCACAATAAATTCAGCAACTAAAACAAGAACTACACTTAACTAACAAGCAATTTACAAGGAAAAAGAATAAATTACAAAAAAGATAAGCAAGAAAAATCACTTAAGAAATAATTGAAGTAAAACCCAAGGAAGCCAAACAAACCATGCTAATTCTTTTTTTATCAAATCTATCTATAATCTCTTTAACCTTTAAAAGATAATGAAAACATGCTCATTTATGTTAAGTTAGATAGTAAATTATTTCTCTTGTAATTTTCTAAATCCTTTATAGTTTAGTGGCAAAGTCCTTTTACTGGCTATGGTTTTTCTTTTCATAAGTAATCCTTTCATTCCTTAGAAAAATTATAAAATAAAATAATTGTAATAAAGGAATATAAAAGTTAAAATAACAAAAGAAATTATCAGAGAATCAAAGAGCAAATATAAGATATTTATAGCTTATTTACTATTTGAAATAAAATGAAATCAACAGTTAATATTTTTTTCAGAAACAATACTATTGACTGTAATATAATGATGATAAAAATATTTACCAACTATTTATTATTTAACATTAACAGTTCAAAAATAATGACATTGGCTGTACCAGCTATTTGTTATTTAAATAAAATGAAATGATATTAATTGTAATAGGGCTCTATATTGGAAAAGGTCCAGTTATTGATTAAGTTCATATCCAAGATATATATTGCTTGTATTCAATTAAAAAATAAATTCAGAGATGACCCAGTTAATAAGTACATTATGGCATTATGGCACACCATAATGAAACACTTATGTTTCTTCAAACTATGGTCAAATGGTCTTGCTAAAGAAACAACAGCAATGATAGAAGGGAAATATTGAATTTCATTTTGATTGTTCAGTTAATTCTTGTCAAATTAAGGGCATTTATAAAAAATAGAATTAAGGAAGGTATTTTATAAAAAGTTTATAATGATACAGTTAGTTTATGAATGAATTTTTGGTTATTCTTTATAATCAATAATCTCAGTCTTTTTTTTTTACAGATAAATATCATCCATCAAATTAACGGTTTTAGGATGACTGATAAAAAATAATAGTAATGTCCATCTTAGCAAGATCTTCATAAAATTTGAATTCTTATTGGTCAATTCCATGATCGGCAAAACGAAGACCAAAATTTAAAAGTTGTCTGAACTTTTTTATAGCCATTTGAACCACAAAGATCATTTTCATATAATGCTCTCAATTTGGTGGGAAAACCATATAGGAGATAAAATTGTTATATCATATTAGTACACATCTAAACTCAATAAGTCGGACACAGCAATCAATTGTTTAAAGTACTTTATAATATAAATAAATGTCCGATTTATTGAGTTTAGATGTGTATTAGTGTATATGAAATTCTTTGTAGTACAAATGTTCATTTTGCAGTATGCCCTGGTTTTTTTATTTGAACAAATTTAAGGAATAACTTGTTTCAGAAAGGAAGTTAGATCATAAACTTCTTGATCTGAAGAAGAATGGTCCATTCCATTATAAGTTTTAAATGTTACGTTGTAACCATTATTTTTAAGAAATTCTGAAGTCCGTTTACCAAATTGATAATTTACAACCTATAAAATAAAAAATATATAAAAATATATATTAATGATTATATTGCATTGATTTATCATTTAACAATAATCATATACCATATCTCTATCACCATGAGCCATAAATATTGGTGTGTTCTTATTTGCTTGAGTGGACATCTAAATATTCATTTATTTAAACATATATTAAATATAAATAATTTTAAAGAATCAATAATATAATAATAGTAATAATAGTAATATATAGTAATAATAATAATAATAGTAGTAGTAATAATAATAATAACAATTAACCTGAATAATCTTTTCTTCCATACTTAAAAACCCACTTAATCTATTATTTTTATAAAACTTTACAATTTTAAAAATTTTTGATCAAAAGACAAAAAAAGAAGATAGAGTATAAAAGAATACTTTTACCCAACTATGCCAGCCAAAGGATATTCTGATGTTATCCCTGTAGCAAGAGCTATTGCAGCTCCTTGAGAAAACCCTCCAACAACAATTCGATTAGAAACAATTCCAGAGTCAATTTCATCTTTTATCAATTTCTTTACTGAAAAATAAATAAATAAACAATAAATATTTTTTCCAATATCAATAACATTGATAATATTAACATAAATATTAATATTATACTTTGAGAGAGAGTTTCCATCACACCATCTTCATCCACACCACCATCTATTTGATCTAGATTTAGAGTTGTAAGATCAAACCTATGATATAATTTATAATGATTAATTGTTTGTTATATTCAATTCTATCTGGATAAAAAACATGTCATAATCATTACCATCCAGGCATCCTCATACCCATATTAATAGTTATTGGACGTATTGGTCTATATCAACAAGGCAAATCTCAAATAAATTAAATCTTTGCAATTATTCTTTACATATTAATATCATTATTATAAGCTTACGCATTTGGTAGCACAAATTTTACATGTTTCATTATTTCACCTATTTCTTTAGCAACTGGTTCCCATCCATGTCCGCTATCACCTAAACCCTATACCATAAAGCAATATATATAATTTTTTTTAATTCTTGAACATTTATTATTTACATACTTAATATATTAAGGATAAACATTTTTTACATGTAAAAATATAACAGTAGCAGAGTGCAAAGAAGGTCCTGCCCTTTTAATTACAGAAGTTAGCTGAGACATTATTGAATGACAAGTTCTAGAAAGGAAGGGAGGGGATTGGTGTCGAGTTCACGTTTCACAGACAACATTCATGTTAATTTTTTTTTTGTTACACTTATTCACGAGTTTTTTATATATGAAACAGCCAGAGCACAAAGTTTTGTGTGCTGGAAACAGCAAATCATGATTTTAATATAAAATTTTTATTTCTTAAAAAAAAAAAAAAAGCCAAGTAGAAGATATAATTAAGACAAGACCTGTGTAGTGTTATTAATAAATTAAACAAATAAAAATAAAAATATGAATTTGATAGGATTCATATTCATCATTCTTTTTGTATTACTGGATGTTTTATTGTTGCATTTATTTTTTTTTGGTCTACTTGTAGTAGCAAAAGCGCATCATCATCATCATCGTTATCACTATTTTCCTTGGTTTTAACAACAATAATATTAAAATTTTCCTCATTATCAAGATTAATTATTTTTGAAATTGATTTTTTGTTTTATTCCGTGTCACTCCCAATTATAGAGTCAGCGATTAAGTGACTTGCATTATATTATTATTATGTTAAAAAACCATTAAATAATAATCGACAACGAAACAAGAACATTAGCTGTAGTAGAAACCTTGTCACGATGGGATGCGTGATCTTGACATACAAAACTCAAAAATGTCAAAGATAGTTTCTATTACTGTCGTTCAGTTTAAGATATTAACACATTAATATTTATTTGATTTCCAGTAGAGCCATTATCAGCAAAAACTGCACCACATTTTTTACTGGCTGAACGAATTTTTACTGGCTCTTTTATCACTTTCGGCGCTTTTGTCTGTTTGGGATTTAATGGGTGGTGAATGGTGTACGTTTGAAGACAAACTAGCCATGTTCTCAGCGAAAAAAGAAATATTTTAAACAGAATAATATAGGAAAATGATTGATACATTTAAATACCAATATCGGATGGTTTTCCTTATTAAATAAAAGAGTAAATTATTTTATTTTATTTTTATGAATTATTTTTTTTGGTGACCGACTGTTCAAATTGTCAAATAATTTAAAAAAACAAGCCTCGCATACCACCAAGTAAAAGTTATTCTGCTGTCAGATATATTTCAGCAGACAGCCAATTGGAATTCACTGGGCTTTTAAAGAAACGCATTTTTGTGTTTTTAGTTTCATCTTTAAAAAACACAAAAAGACACATCTTTATGACATGATTGATTTTTTGATTTTACTTTTTTTACGCTACATAAATAAATATACCTCGCATGCTAAGTAAAAATCGTTCCACAGTCAAATAACCACGCCTGTTTGCCTTTTGAATTTCACATAGTCAGTTTTAAAATTCGTCGTAACTTTATTTTCCTCGTCATTGCCTTTAATCTATTGTTGTAAAGTTTGAAAGTAGAAGAAAATAATATTCGTCACAATATTCATTCTGCCAACAATGAAATAGGATCATTAGCAATTATAAAGTTATTATATTTATAAAAGAGGAAGTCTATATTGAATGTTTAAAAATATCCACAGGTCCACTGAGAATTTTCGTAATTGTAACCATCTCTGAATACTAACTGTTCACTATCTAATAAGAACATAGTTGAGAATGTACGTGTTACAAAACCTTCGTAGTTCCCAAGATTTTCTAAATAATATTTGGTGTCTGAAAAGCCACAAGTACGCAATACTTACAACGAGTGGAAGGTAATAAAATAAATAATACACGTAAGTGCTACAGAAATTACTGCGTCACGCACGAAAAGAATTTAAAAGCAAGATCTACAATTTAAGAAATCAAAATAATGGATAATATTTTAGAATATGATTCATCATCTGAAGAAATCCTGGAAGATAGCAACAACAACAATGATGATAATGATAATGGAAATCCTTTATCAAATGCGCTTGTAAAAAGGAAATTTTCTGATGAAAATCTTAATCAAACAATAAAGTAATTTTAAATTTTTAAAAGCATTTCTTAAATTATATATCTATAATCAACATACATATTTCCATAGAAAAAAGAAAATTTCATCATTACCACCACTTCCTACTGAATTTTTACAATTATATTCAGGTAATAAATTAATAAATTTTAAATATATAAATTATAATAATTTTCTTAATCGGATCTCTTTTTCTAGATAATAAAGTACACATTGATAATCCAGACGAACATCAAGGTCGTGTAAGAACAAAACTACATGTTGAGGGAAATTGGGCTACACATGTTTACATGGAAGGTTAATAACAAATTGGTTATATAACAATGATGATGATTTAAAGATTATGTTATTAATTCTTTTATTGCTATTTATTATAGTGATTATACCAGAAGACTTTGAGGATCTTTTAAAAAATATTAAAATTCAATCAGAAAGTTTTCTAAATAATAATGAAAAAGAAATCAAGGTTTTCTCATGTCTTGAAGAAGAAGAGAGTGAATTATTAAAATTACTTGATAAAGATGTACTGAGTACAAGCAATCTATTAAGATATGATAAAAATAAAATTGACGATGATGAGAATGATGACGATAAAGACGAAGATGAAATTGGACAAATATTTAAAGATATAAAGTTACATATTAGTTTAACAAAACCTATTTTTTTAAAATATTTTCAAATAAATGGATTTTGGGATAATTTGAAAAAAGGTTTTAAAAATAAAAAAAAGTAAATACATTTATTTCTTTAGTTGATGAATAATTTTTTTAAGTATTTGATAAATTTCTTATTTACAATTTATCTCCCCTTTCCAAGATTCGAGATTGCGTTTTCAAAATTACAAAATTTGACAAATAATGAAAATACAAGATCATTTCTTGCGTTGGAAGTGGATAAAGGATTTGATAAAGTATTTTATATTTTTATAAGATTGTGAATATAAACTGTTAAATTTGTAAAATTAATTAATAATATTATTGTTGTTATTGTTGCTATCATTATAATGATTATTATTTTAGTTGAAAGAATTACTTGAACATATTAATAGTGTGGTAAAAGATTTTAGACAAGAAGAGTTTTACAAGGTAAACAATCATAAAATCACATTTCAAATATTTCAAATCGATCATAATATAACGCACACACGTATATTTAGGATCCAAAATTTCATTCAAGTATTTTATGGGCTCTTGGAAACTCAATAAATAATTCACTATGTAATCACCTAAAAAATTTGGGATATGAAAGAAAAATTCAAGGATACAATTTTATAATTGAAAAAATGGTTTGTAAAATTGGCAATAGGATATTTTCTGTGAAATTATTATAAATTCTTTATTAAATAATAAAAATAATATATATTATATTATGTGACTTTTAATTATTGCAATAACAATAATTTATTTTTCTTAACCCTCATAAGAATTTGCTTTATGTTTTGGTACAAAGGTGAAATTGTCAGGAGTAGGCCCAAGTAGCATTTCACTAAAAAAAAAATTAAAAGATAATTAATCAATTTTACACAAATAAATAAATCACTGGAGATTCATAGATTAGTTGAGTACCTGATTTTAACCCAATCATTGCTATTTGGACTAGCTAATAATGTTTCCAATTCATCTCTGCCGTGAAATAAAGGTGGTCGCTCATTGATTCGTTGTGGCAAAACTTCAAGCAAACCTACAGGAATATATCTATGCACACATATTTAATTAATAACCAATTACATTTACATATTATCAATATATATTTATATACCTATATAAAAAGCTCATCCATTCACATAAAAATCTTCTTGTTTGATTAATTCCCTGATATATATATTTTTTTAAAACAAGTATATTAATAAAATTACAATACACTCATATAATTATATAAAAACATATAAAAATATATTTGAATCCCTACAATTGTATCAGCTCCCCAATGTTCCATACCATAATCACAAAATTTTTTTAAAATTTCAAATCTTTCCTTTGATGAAATGTCATAATGTTTTTTTGATTTAATTTCATCAAATATCCAAGGTTTAATCTTTTTAAAAAAATAATAATAATGTAAATATTAAATTTTTAAGCTATTAATATTTATAATATTTTATATAAATTTTACCAGAGCTCCTCTTGCTATCATAACTCCATCTATATTATTTTTTTCAATATGTTGATAATAATCTTCATATCCAAGTATATCACCATTACCTAGATATTGTATATATACAAATTAATTAAATTTTGAATTACATATTAATAAAAATGTATAATTTAAATTTACCAAAAAATTCCATTTTTTTTCTTGTTGATCCAACTGTTGAAATATAATCCCAATCAGCAAGTTTTACATATCTTTGTTCACGAGAACGTCCATGTAGCTTTTTTTTTTTTTGTAATTAAAAATAAGTTAATTGAACTCATATTTAAAATATTAATATTAAATTAATTAACTATATTACTAACAGTAGCTAAAGAAACACCCTAAATATAATTAATTTCAAGAGAAAAAATTGTTTCAGTAATATTCATTAACAACAACATCATTTATAAATGTAAATTTTAATATTAAGGGATATTACCCAATTTTCAAATTTAGGAATCAATTTGTGAGCAACGTAACATTTATCTGAAATTCCTGTACGTAATTTAACTGTGATTGGTACATCAATTATCTAAAATAAAAATAAAAAGACTTTAATAAAATTATTTATCACTAATAATAGATATTTTATCTCAAATTCTTATTTACTCGATTCATTCCTCTCAACATTTTTCCCAATCTTCCATCATGTCTCAACAATGCACTTCCACCTCCCTAAAAAAATCCCCAATTTAATCTTATTGTTATTCATAAATTCAAACATAAGTATAAGCAAACCTTGTTAAAAACAACATCAATTGGACATCCCAAATTCAAGTCAACAAAATCTACTTCTATTTCATTATTTAAAACCTCTGCACATTTCACCAAATACTCTGCTTTGTTTCCACATATTTGGACACCAAATATATCTTCGCTAACATGTCTCTTCATCAAAGCCCATTCACTCTGTTGCCCCTGAAGAATATTTGTTGCCATTGCCATCTCTCCACATGTAATATCTGCTCCAAACTCTTTACATATGCGACGAAATGGAAGATTTCCCACTGTAGTCAATGGTGCTAAATAAAGTTTATCCTTAAAAGAAAATTTTTTCTTTTCACATTGTCGTAATGGAACATCTGGCGTGTCAATGAATGCTTCAACATTATCTCCATCATCATTATTTTGTTTTTCAATTTTATTCTCAATGATAATAGGCGCTTCTTCTCTTTCCTCTTTTAGTTTATCATCTCTTTCATTATTTTCTTCAAGAATTTCCAATTTTGGTTCGCCTTTATCATTATCACTTGATTCAATAATACATGCATCCTGTGCATTTTGTTTTGCTAATCTATTTGCCTTTTCCATCTCCAATCTTTGAGAAATCTCTAATTGAATCTCTCGAAGATATTCTTCAGATTTTGGGAATTTGTACTAAAATCAAATCACCATTATTAATATTGTAATTATTTACATTAATATTTATTTATTTATTCTAATATTGTAACATCAATTTTTTATTGATTAGTACTATACCGTACGATTTCTAAGAGTTTTATGAAGTTGAGCAGTGGTAACGTTTTTTTCTTCAATTATATTTTTTGCTAAAAGCTTTATTTCAGATACGAGTTCAACATTAATATTATTATTGGGAATAGTTGACTATATAATAAGATAAAGGTACCTCCTCATTAATAATCAGTTTTCCATTTAGATCTATATGTGAATTTGCAAATCTACATGCATATCCATGACGACATCTTTAAGATAATAATAGTTGATTAACAAATGAATCAAATTAAAATTGATAAGAAAATGAAATTTCATGTTCGTATTAAATATTTACTTTCCAAATTTCTCAAAATTTACACATTTATTTCCTAAATCTTTTTCTTTAACCCGAAGATATTCCTGAAGATCATGACTAAATTTACATCTATTTGAAAAAAAATTTATAGTATCACTTTTCTTTAAAAAACTTTATATAAACATGTCGCAACAAATGTATTAAACTTACAATTCATTTTCACAATTTTCATCGAGTGAAGTTTTGTGACACAACTATAAAATATTAAATAATATTTAAATCTTTTAAGAAACTAAACACAAAATAAATATTCAATTATAATATTATAATAAATAAGATTAATGTTACATACTCTTAAAGATTCTGAATATCTTTTAACAGCACTTCCTTTATTTTGACCTGGTTTTCTTGTGACACGTGATTTCTTTTTTGGTGGTTCCTGTTAATATTAAAATATAGAATCAAATCCGTTGAGCAAAAAAAAATTCATCATTTACCAATTAAACAATTCGATTAGAATTATCGTTCTTACCAAATCTTTTTTATCATCATTATTGTCGATATCTCCAAATACAGCCTCACTCGAAATTTTAGCAACACTTTTTTTATCAATGAACCTTTTACAATGATAAATAATTTTATTATAAATCAAATAATAAAATAAAATAAAATATAAATATATTAAATAATTGTTTACTCTTCTTTTACTGGAGCTTCGTTTTTTCTTCTGACAACTTCATTTGAAGACATTATTAAAATAAATGGTTTAACATTTATTTAAAAAAATAAAAATTTTTGGTGCCAGTTTCTATGTTGATTTACATAAATAATTTACTTTTATGTAAAGGAAAATCCTATACAGCCAAACTCGTCACAACAGACCTCGCCACAACGAATTTCTTGTTATATACAACGGATTTAAATATTGGCCCTTTTTTTTTATTAAATTAGTTTTAATTTGGGGGTAGGAGTGGGGGGACTTAAATTGACCCCACTGCTGGACACTTTACCAACAACACACGACGTGATATTTTAGCATTTTGTTAGTTTGTTTGATTGTGTAGAGATTAAATGTAACCCCATGTGTTGTCAGTAAAGTGTCCCAGACCCCTGCTGCACATGATTGTGGCAGGAAAATCTCACTGGCGCAGCAGCAGCAGCAGCAGCAATGGGGTTTTCTTTTCGTCACATAACAAATTTTACTTGTTAATCTTTAATAATTATAATTATTTTATTTGTATGTAGTTATGGCACAATTGCAATTTGTTGTAGCAAATAACATAAAAAAAAGAGTTGATGAAATGTAAAAAAAAAAGAAAAGAAGAAACATAAATATAAAAAATATTTTGATGGAAACTCGGGGAATAATATCAAGTTTGGTTTTAATTATTTGTTACTGCATGGTGTCTCGGAATTTCTTTTTAGTAATTCTAATCCATCTAAAACATAATTTCCATTTTTACATAATATGTCCTCACTATTCTTGGCATTCCTATTTAATGTGAGAGTTAGCTTAAAAAATGATTGTGTTGTGTTAGTTGTGGCTTCACAACACTCTTGTAAGCCTAGAAGTTGGTTCTTGGCTTCTTTTGAGTTTGGATGCTCAAAAAGCTCTATATTTTTCTGTATAATTAATTAAAAAAAAAAAGCACAAAAAAGCAATAAACAATAGTGCTTACTTTTGCTTTTAAAGTCATAACAAATACATTTAAAGCTTTTGAACCAAATTCATTAATGTTTGGAGGAATTTCAAACATGTTTGTTCTTAAGACCCTGCAAACATATCCTGTTGGGGAGTCCAATCTTAACATCACTACTTTCAATCCTATTAACATCCAGAGTTCATGATCAGTTAGTGTATTAAACCAAATCATATTGCAAACCATAATACAGACCAGCATGTGTGAATCCTATAGTTTCTATTTTTCTTAAAGAGTTTTTATCAAAGTTTACATATTGGTACAAGTCATACAACATGTCTTTTAAAACTTTTGGAATTTTCAATGAACTTTCCTTTAATAGTTTAGTCCCTTTTGGTCCTTTGTATAATTTTCCTACTTCTGAACATACAAATTCTAAGGACCCCCTCCTAACTATCAAGTCACATCTACTACCTACATCAGGAAATTAATTTAGCATAAACTTGCATAAATCTTACAATGCCAACATAATATTGAGTAAATCTTACAGTGCTGATGTAAGTTTTACACTTTTTTATTATTAAACTTACAATTGACATGTGCAAATTTTTTTAATATTTTCTAGATGCAGAACCTTCCTTTTTAAAGATGTTGCAGGAATGACTCTTTCAGATTTTTTATGGTTTGCAGAAGAGATACTGCAGGATTCTCCTCTGTTGTGAAATAAAAAGACTAGGTTATGAATAAAAAATCAAAAATCAAAAAAAAAACCAAACTATTGACCTGACAGACTCCATATTTTTGAAATTTTCAAATGCTTTGTCCATCATGTTCTAGGCTATACATGAAGTCGAAATGTTTTGACTTGAGGCAACTACATAGTAAAAATCAGTTTCGACCTTATTTCAACTAGAGATGTTAATCGATTAATTTTTCGCAATCGATAATCGAAATCGAAATAATCGATTATAATCGATTATGAATTGATCGACAAATCAAAAAAATCGATTTGAAATCGATTTTTTCGATTTTCGATTTGTAATCGATTTTTTACATTGCAAATAGTAGTAGTAGTAGCTTTATTTGTTTTATGCTTATGAGTTAACAACTTTTACATATTACAGTATTAATAAAATGAAAGAATCTAGATCACATGTCCAAAAC